TATTTCTTGTTTTAAAATGTCATATAAATCCTAATAGAAAAAAAATGTAATAATTTTATTTAAATACAGTACATTATTGTTATAATTAAAGCAACATAGAATTGGATTTGAGTAAATTATCACTAGTGGACAATAAAAATGGCAAAATCTTACAAGGAAAAAGATATATACTAAAATCTTATTGTTTAATTTAAACTTAAAGAGTGTTTTAGTGTGGATGGGTGAAGGCTAAAAAGAAGATGTGAAATTGGACTGAGAAAATGGGTAAATTATATTTTAAATTGTAACTTCAAAATAATTGGTAATAATTTTCTTTAAAAAGAACATATATTCACGTAAAAAAACACTTTAATATATAAATCAACTTTAAAATAAGAGAGTAATGTATTTGAAAATAAATAATAAAGTAAAATTTACTTTATAATTGAATCTTTTTATCTAAAACTCAGAAGATTAAAATAACTTAAAAGATAATAATTTATATAAGATATTACATAAAATAATAAATAATTAATTATTTAATTAAATAAATTAATTTTAATGGATTGGACAGAATAAATATTATTATATATTTTACAATTTAGTTATTGATAACAAAAAGTTAACCATCACTATCTAAAGGATACAGAAAAATAATTTTCAAACTATCAACAAGATCTAATGCAGTTGTTAGAGAACTAAATGTTATGTTATAAGATGTTTGATTCTTGAACAGTGTAAACATGGTGAAGACTTTACTAAAAGAGATAAAATTTATTTTAGGTATCTAGACTCCATTTATCACAAGGATATGCTTGACAAAAAATATATATAAAATTTTGAGGGTGACTGATGGATGCTAAAAGATATATAATGATGAAATTTTTGTGGTCTCCCAAGCAATAATTATATTGCTTCTAAATCTTGCATTTTTTATTTTTTTTTTTGAAATGTCGGACCCGCCGCCAAAGCTAACCGATGCCAAATCAATGGAATAATAAGTTAATCAACCTAGTCCTACACTATAATCATAATTGAAAACTAAAGAGTAATACTATAAAATTCATATAACACTTGTGGCACAAAAGAAGGAGGCTAAGAAAAACAAAAAGTCAAAAAGCGACCAGTGGCTGAAGTTAAATGAAATTATGTCTAGTATTCTGTTGAAAAAGGGAAGAAAGACAGTGATAAGAAATGAAAAAAGACTCCCAATCCATGGACATAAATGAAAACAATTAAAGGTGTGTTTATTGCAATTCAACCAATTTGAGCCTGAATTTAATAGGGTAGAAGGATATTCACGTTTAACTTATCTCAAAAAGTTCAAATTGTGTAAAACAAACACACTATATATTTTAAAGGTGTAAATAGTTTATGGATTTTCTTAACATAAGTATCTATCTACACCTGGAATCTAAAATTTACTATTTCTATCATGGTACATCTTCAACACCCTTGTGCCGTACATATAGTTAGTATTTTATTATATATAGTACTCTATATGTCTAATCCTGCAAGTGAATTTAATGAATTATTTTTCACGTTAAAAAAAAAATAATCAAAGGATGGTAATAAATTGCTAGTTTTAAGAGGGAAAAAAAAAATCGCCATGATTCTTTATGTGTATGAGCCCTTTGGATTGAGGACAGAGAGGTTAATAAAAGAGTGGTACGAATCAATTTAACTTGTCAAAATTGAAATTATTATCATTTTATATATAATTATTAAATAACATATTTGTTAAACTTAACTTCGCATAATTTTTTTATTTTTTTAGACAAGTTAAAATGCTTATATTGTGGAAGTGAATCACCTAATAGATTATTTAGCATTGCTAAAGTGGTAAGATTCTATCTCTTAATCAAGTGAGAACACTCATTGTTACTGAAAAAAATACTTAACATTTTCATTTTCCATATTATAGATACTGTTTTTTCGATTTATCAACGGTTGAATAATATGTGAAGTGAGACTTAACGAAAATAAATAAATAAAAAATATGGAATTTTATAATTTATAAATTATTGTTTTAGATACATTACAAAAACAATTTTAAATATCGATTAATTTAAAGATAAAAATATTTAATTGTTATGCTAAATAAGTTAAAACACTATTTTAGTTGAATTGATTTTTTAATCAAAATTTAAATTGATTTATAATATTAACTACCAAAAATTTAGCTATTTGTTCAAAATTAGACTCTAAATTAATTAAAATTTAATTTTTAATTAGTAACTAGATACTAAGATTTTATTTCAAAAATAAATTTAGCTAAAATAACTAACACAGTCAATATAATAATTAAATTTTTCTCTAAATTAATTGATATTTAATAAAAAATTTAGTGATGATTAAAAAAAATAGTAATAAATGCACCAAAAAATGGTTTATTTTCATGTATATACATATAACAAAAAAATTATTAAGATCCTAGTATTTTAATATATTATGTTATTTATTATACCAACACCCTAACTTTTACCAGTATTTATTGTTTCAAGCTATGAGAATTTTGTTGGTTTTTCATTAACATGCATTGAATTCAAGTGAAGAAGATATTTGTGAAGGTAATGAAAATAAACTGATATAAGGGTCATTCATAGTGTCAATTAGTTGAAACGTATTTGTTTGATCTAATTAATATTTTTTAAAGTTTTTTTTTTGAGAGAAAATGGTGTATTATTCGAACATAGTTGTATCCATTAAAGATATCTATGACTCATCTCCTTCACAAATTTATTACAGAAGATATTTTTGATAAATAATGTGAGAAAAATATTAATAATATCCTATATAATATTCACAGAATCATACTTAAGACCTAAACAATGCAAATTTTAAAATATTTTTCTATAAATAAATTATGGTAATCAATCAATACTTTTAAATAATATAAATAAACGTTAAATTGTTGTTAATACTAAAAAAACGAATAGTTAAATGTATTAAACTTAAGAATGATCGATGTGAATAGATTTATATACTTAAATTATAAAAATAAAAGGTTTTAAAAAAAAGTAATAATCAACAAATTTCACTTGAAACTAGTCCGGAATATGTATTTTTTTACATTATAAAATTCCATATAATAATTAACAGAGTGAAACAAATTGAATTGAAATCTTGGTAATTGGAAAGCATGTATGTACATTACCTGTATGTAGCCAATGGAGTAACCGCGTGAAGGATTGGTGGGTTCCTTTTTGTGAATTTCTTACATTACATTCTATTGATTTATTGATTTTATGTGGAATTTGTCGTGTAATGCTTTGTAACTGATCTGCATGCAAATCATGGTACTTGTGTGGGTGTCTACACATCAGAATGTGCATGCAATGGGGCCGTGCAACTGGAGCCTTCCAAAACATACCTCACCCTTCAACTTCAAATCAAATTAAAGAGTGCCCAAGAAATTAACATGATAAATAATTCAATTCAAAACTTTTTCAACAAAATAAGCAATTAATACCTGAAAGGGAAAAGTTTGCTTTGATTTTTGTGGAAAATGTCATGACCTGATGATAAAAGGACAAATTCCCTTTTCTTCCCTTGGGTTTGCGGGTTTGGTTTTACTTTACCATTCGTTCCCCACTCCCCAGCACCATGCACAGGTTTTCAGACCCTTCAATTTTAAATACCGCTATTTCTTATTTTTAACCCTTATGTTAAAAGGAATATACAAAAAGTTGTATAAAACTTTGGGATGAACATAGAAGCAATGTAGGTATAGATGATGTATATATATATATATACTTTGTGGCAATTCATCTTGGTCACCCTACTCTACATTTAATATCTATACTTACCTCACATAAAAATCAGCATGGTCCTAAATTAAATGACCATGTGTGTCATGTCCCCTTGCTCTTTTCCCCTACACTTAATTTGTTTCATGTCACCATTTCAAAATTTATTGTCATTAATTAAGAGTGTAGCACTGGAAAGGAAATACGAACTGCAAGCAAATAAAATCCCCCTCCCAACCCAACATAAGGAACCCAAAAATATTGCACCCAATTCTTTTTTTTTTTTTTTAAAGTAAGTATATATAAATCTTTAACGACGTCAATTTCATTAACAAAATATAAGTTAATTTTATGGTTTTACACATTCTTTTATCAACAAACTATTTTATTCAATAAATAGGAAAAGTAAAATTTGATATCATTACGAAGTTTTTATTAGTATTACTAACGGTGCATGCAGTAATACTTATATATTTTTTGAATTTTAAGTTAACAACAGAATAACGTATATATTTATTTCTCTTTTAATTCTATCGATTGTGCATAAAAAGTAGTAAATAAAATGCTAAACTACTATTGGTGTTTGATATCTCAAATTAACTTTCGTACTTTATTAAACATTACAAAATTGAACCACAATACAAATTAATTACTTGTCTTGATTAAAATAAGCATTAATTTGAATTGGGCAAAATTAGAATTAGCACCATGATGAATAAATGTTTCTACGAAACGGAGAATATTAACGAAAACTGTTTAGTTTTTTTTAATATCTTTTAATTAGTGTCCAAGGATAATCAGATATCCTACATGTAAGTAAATATTAGAGTGGACTTGCTTCTTTTTTTTCAAGAAGAAGAAAATAATTATTTTCATTATGAACATTAAAATTTTATTTACCTATTTTGTAACAATAAGTTGTTGTAGCATTACAGTGAGTAGTGAGACTCACTGCTACATCAGGAAAGTAAATAGAAAAATGATATTTTAAATTTAACGTTTTCTGTACTTTAGTAAGTAGTGATGATTCAATAATAATAATTCTCTTATATATTATTATTATTATTATTATTATTATTATTATTATTATTATTATAATTGAGTTGCTAGTAAGAATATAAAAAACAAACAAATAAATAAATATAAACTGTGGATCTGAATTGTTTAAGGAGGAGAAAGGGAAAATTGCGGGGTACTTGACGCAGAAACAGGATAATGGGTGGGACTATTGATGGGAAGGATATATCCGTAATTGGGGATTAGAACACAACTATGTTGCGTGAGAACGGTTCTTCACCAAACGGAATTTGGGACATGAGGATGGTATATGATCAGAAGCGCATGATTATTGGTTTGCACAAGAGAATGAACGTTACGTTGTTTTTGGTGTGTAATTTAGTGACTAATCCCAGCTCAGCTTTGATTTGTCCAAACATCAATGGGGTTGGAAGGATGAGGTGTGAGTCGCGGATTTGGCCACACTACGGCGCAGTGTAGAAAGTGGAGTGGATCCATATATAACGGCGCCGTCAGATTTCCCGTTTCTAGATTCCCCGTTAATGTTAACAGAGACTGGGCCACCACCACGATGCAAAACACACTACTCACTCACCCTTGCCAGCACCACTAAGAAAAAGCAATTACCCAATCCCAACCGTTGAACCCCTTTCGTCATTATCACAATTTCGTCGTTTCCGTACTACACGCGCGCACCAACTTATTACGCTCACTCACGCCACATCTCCTCCCTTCCTTCCCTCGTTTGCTCTCTTACATTAGCAACCGAACCCAACCAAAACAAACCCCGAAAAAACGCACACCAACACCTGAAAAGGAATCGCCTCGCCAGAGCACGTAGTAGTAGTAATAGCAGTAGTACTTAAAGGGACTCTCACTGCACATCAATGCCTGCTCAGGTCGGTGTCAGGACACGAGCCCGAGCCGCATTAGCCATGGAACCTGACACTTCAGCTCAACCAACGCCCAAGAGAAAGACCATCAACCACACCAACCAAGACCCTCCAAAATCCTCCAAGTCTCCCAGAACCACTTCTTCTTCCCTTCTCAAACAGCCCACGCTCCCCGAGATCAACCAACGCTGTCTCAGCCCTACCTCCACTGAAGTTCCTGCCTCTTGCTGCTCCAGCAATGGATCCACTACCCTCGATGATGACAGGATCAAACTCTCAGATCTGGAGGTAACGGATTAATATTTCTTATTTATTGCTCTCGCTCGATTTTGCAATTCAATTCTCCTCTTAAACTGTTGCTATCCTTAATTAATTTACCGCTTTAGTGTGTGTGTGTGTGTGTGCCTGTAGCCTTTCCTCATTCCTTTTCCTTCACCCAAATTAATGCACCGCATTCCACGTTTTTTATACAGGTGGAGAGCCCGCAAGTTGAAACGTCGACGTGCAATGGCGCTGCACAAATTCAGAGGTTTTTCAATCAAACTCATTTTATTTAACTTTTAAATTGCTCCAAGCTACTTCCAATTCCAGACGTTTTTCCTCAAACGTTTTTCTTCTCCATAATTCAACTCCATTCACCGCGAAATAAATGGTGTCTCAACAGTCATGATAGTTTCTTCCCGTCAAAACTCAAACTCGTTGTTCGTTTCTCTAGTGTGTGTTCGCGCACTGCGCATTCTATAATTCTGTACCGTAACAATTTTCTCGTGTCCGGAAATTGCAGGAAAGAGATGAACCGTTCCAGCGAGCTTCTTGAAAATTCGGAGGAGCCGGAGTCAATGGAGATCAATTCTCGCCGTGCCTCGTCAAAGGCGCCAACCATGCCAACCGAGTTGGAACTGGAAGAATTCTTCGCTACCGCCGAGAAAGACATTCAGAAACGATTTCAAGACAAGTAAGTTAAAATCGGTAGAATTTTCTTCTTTCGCTCGCTCAATCTTTTTTCCTTTTATTTTTAATTTTTAATTTTTAATTTTTGTGACACCATAATTTGTATGTCATACAGCTCCGGTCGTTCCTTTTTAATTAAAAATTTCTTTCGCAGGTACAATTATGATGTTGTTAAGGATGTGCCACTGGAAGGACGCTACCAGTGGGTTCAGTTGAAGCCATGAAGGTGTTTGTCTCGCCACCGAAGAAACAAAACTCCGATCAATTTGAACATGCCATTTTGGTCTCTTTATATAATATTGTTAAGTTCGGTCTAGGTCTTTTATTTCTTCAATGTTAATTATCATTTACACCAGGCAAGGCTCTTTTATCTGGTGCACAGCTTTTTATATTTCGGTGTGGTTAAGGTAAACAGGTTGAGCTTCGTTTGTTCTCTGTACGGAGAAGCAGCTTAATGTTCGCTTGTGCAGAATACTGTAAATTCCTTTGTGAAGATCAAACGCTTCCATTACAGGCTTCAACTTCTCTCGTTTTCGTTTTAAGCGCTCCCCTAAAATCACTGTCCATTTCTTTGTTTTAAACTTCGCTTTTAAGGAGAGAGTACAAGAAGTCAGTGACTGTATGATTGTGTCTACTTTTTCTTTACTTTAATTTTTTTTTTTGAAAAAAATAGAAAACAAACAAAAATCAGAAGGAAGATGATTAACCAACTTATAGCGAAAATGGAGAAATGAAAGGGGTGGGAGTAGGTAGTAGGAAGAGGGTGGAGGCCAAGGTCTTGCTAGATGTTGGGCTTGGGAGGGGGCAAAGACACGCACCATGCCGTGTAAGTTACGGTCACGTGTTTGTGAGGGTAAGAAAGCTGATCTTATTATCCCCCTCCCTACCACCATGTGAGAAGAGTCTTCTAATCTGCAACAAAATCCACTCTACTTTCACAAAGTACAACAAATATAGGTAACGGAGTAAAAGTTCGAATACTATTGTTATTGTTGTTTCCACGTGGTACCACTCTTGCTTCTTCTTATCTACTCAAATACATATATAAAACGAAAAGTATTTGGTCTTGATCAGAATATGAAATCCATAAAGAGAGACACACGCGCATCATTAATTAGTTGGGTTGTTTTGTTTAATCACTACAATTTTATGGCAAGGGTGGGTGCATTTGAAAGAGAGAGAGAGAGGAAGAGAAGGTAGGAATGGGAATGATGGGGTGATGAAGACGAGAGGAAAGGGTTGAGGTAGCAGAAGAGTGGTATATAGTTGGATTGTGGAGTTGTGGTCCCGGTGCTGCATAGCCGTAGGGACGTAGAGATGAAAGGTAGCTAGTGTGACCTTATTCGGCCGTCGTTTTGGTTTTGCAATTTTTATTTAATTATTTTGCCATGTAGCGCGGGTGGAACGTGTTTGTCACGTCGTACTAGCTAGGCGGCTTATTAAGGCACTGAGATAGCGCAGCAGTACTACATGGTTGTGAGGATTGAGATTCTCTGCTGCAGCTTGTGGATTTCGTGATGTGCCTTCCCACTGTTGCTTTCCGTTATGATATAATCATTGCCCTGCGAATCAACACTATGATTCGGATGAGATCTCAGAATATCAGATTATCAGGGATATCCTTCGACAGCGCAGGATCTTCATTCTTACAAACTTTTCAATCTCCAACAAGAACCTTTACCTTTACCTTTACCTTTTGCCTCCCTTTTTTTTTACCCCTACTAACATGTGTGCACCTTTATAAAAATATACTATTGTGTGTGGTTTTCTCCTTCTCCTAAAAATGGAAACCAAACACACATTCAACTCATCTCTAATTAGAAGGCAATGTTAATAAAGCACGTCCAAGTTTCAGTGCGATAATTAATATGGTAGTATATGAACATTGGATTGTGTGGCACTTTTTATTTACTAAACTCTATCATTTTATATGGTCATATAATTAAGTTGTGCCCGTGCGTGTCTTTCAGAGCATAATTATTTTATATCCTCCAATCACATTCTTTAACAGTGAAACCATTGTTACTGACCGGGCATAGGTAGGACAAGAAAACAGCAAACCAATTCAAATTAATGAAAGATTCAACAAGTTCTCTCTCTATATATATTCTAATTATCATGTAGGTCCCCTTCCCCCGGATATTCTTTTATATGACACATGTCACGACAAGTGGATGATGCAAAATGTAATTCACAGATGAAATAGTATATTGCTTATCCACACCTCATATTTGTCCCACTTCCCCTCGCAGTCCGTGTTAAGCAATAATTAACAACAAAATTCGCAACCTTAGGTACAGTGTACGTAAAACAGGTCGAGATTCACATCCACAATTAGTAGAAGTACTGATTTTCTTTTTGAACAAATTCAATACTAATTATTTTCTTTTGTCTCCGTGTCTTTATTGTTGCCGAGAGAAGGCATCTGCATGATTACAATCTCGACAACATGGCTCGTTGCTTGAAATAATATTTGGTGCGATTCACATATGTGGGCATAACATAGGCGTCAGCAGTAGGCGAGACTGAGATATTGATAATGATACTCATATTATTATTAAAGAAAAGGGAGAGAGATTAGAATTACATTAATAGGGTCCTGTTATTACATATATTATATATAAAGACATTAATATGTATATATATAGGAGACAATGCCATATGGGTTAGCATAGCGTTTGAGTTGAATGGATAAAAAAACACCCTTTAATGCATATGTTGTTGAAGGATGAGCCATAAGAAATAAGAGAAGGAATAGCAGAGGGAAGTACGATAGACGCAAAGTGTGGTTAAAATGGTAATCCGTAGCTAAAACGAAGATTGAAGGTACGAGTGCATGTGGGCACTTGAAATAGGCATATACATCTCCGGAAAAGGGAAGCGGCAGTAAATTAAACCCACAATGCTGGATCATAAAGAAGAGAGAGAGGAGTTAGGGTTGCGGGCCCTGTCAATATTCAATTGTACGCTGATTTGATGCATCAACGGTTGATAGCGATACGTTCTAAAATGGTGTAATGCTTGTCAGGGACTAGGTTATGGCAAAGAATAGGGGCAGTGTCTGTTTTGGGTTGGGGGCGGTTATAGGCTCAAACTGAGGATAAGGTGGATATATAGGAAGATGATAACAAAGAAGATGAAGATGAAGATGAAGACGAAGATGGTGAGGAGGAAGAAGATGAAGGTGGTGAAACAGTGGAAACATGAGTGTATATGGTTGAGGGTGTTGAATGAGTGATGAAGAGAGAGTGGTAGGTAGGTAGGAGGAATACGACGATGGGTGTAGTAGGAAAAGGAGTATTAAAGAAGGGAAGTGGCACAGTGGGAGTGGAGAGAAATATGGATCTACAGAGTGGCGTCACTTGGGTACGTACTATTCATCTTGGATCTTGTGCCCTATTCCTTCTTCACTTCACTTTACTTCACTTATCGCTTCTTTTCATGCTACTTTTGGTCACTCATTACCCACGTGGAATTTTGACTCACCAAGTGCTCCTCCAAAATATTCCTCATTCACCATTTATCTACCCTGTCCATCTCTGCTCTTCAATTATTCTTAGCTACTCCCAATGGTAACTCCATTTCACAATCCCTTTCCAACGCACTCTTCTGCTTCCTTCGGTGTCCCTGTCGGATCACGTGCTTAATCACAATTCTATACAAAATTAACTTTTATCACCAAAGTTTTCATTCATTTTTACTGCAAAATAATCTATTTTCCACAAAATACCTAAATGATTTCATTCATTTCGCACTTCTGTTATTCATGGAGGTCCTGCTAATTCATGGTCTTCTTCAATACCAAAATTTTCTCATCGTCCGACTCAACATATATATATTACATTTTTTAAATTCATCCACCTCCATTTAATTAGTTGAAATTGATTTAAAATATTTTAATCTAATTTAAATTCTAATATAAATTAGATTAATCTATTTAATTTTTTTAAAATATATATTATGAAATTGATTTTTTTTTATTGGTCACGAAGATGTCATTAACAAACCTTTTATTACCCTAACTTTTTCCAGATACTATCATTCTCACCCAATTAATATATGAACAATAGTCGTAACAAAACTAAAATTTAGTCATACATCTTTATATACGTAAGTAACACCAAGCTAATTTAGATTCAATGTCATAAATAATATTTCTTCTATTTTAAAATATATCACATTTTTTTAGATAACTTTGTTTTTATATATATACTAGGTTTGAAAAGTTTAAAATTACATTAATTACTCTTTTACTAATTATACCCCTATCTTTTAATTATATTAATTATAAAGAAAAGATAATATGTTATTTCATATTATTTTAGTTGGAGAGAATATTAACGGAAAAGATTAATAAATTTATTTAAAATAATGAGAATTAATGTTTATATTGATTTATGTAACCAAATCTTAAATCTCATATATTTTGAAATAAATGGATTATATTTAAAAAAAAATTTACTCAAAAAGAATCTATATCCATTTATTTACATACCATGTGTACGTTCATACACAACATTCAATTATGGAAAGTAAATTATCTAAGAGAAAGCAATTATTTTTCCCTCTTCTAGTCCACTTTCTTATCTCTCTCCATTCACTGATTATTTTTACTTTTACCTCTCATCATTTAGTCATTGGTTTGTTCTCTTTCCTTTTTTGAGTGTCTTTTGTTCTGCTCACTACTCTTATTTTGTTTTATTATTCTACCCAAAAATCCTATATTTAAATTTGATAAAATTATCTTAAAATATTTTTTTAAAATCAACATTATAAGTAATAAAATATTTATTTTAAGTATCTTTCATTAAATAATTTTTTTAAAATTACCTAATCCAACTAATCATAGTAACCTATCTTAATTATAACTAGATTAAATTACTAAATAAAACAATAAATTTAATATTTAATATTTTTAATTAAATGAATAATTGATTTATTATGATAAAATATTTTTAAATTAATTATTTACTGTTATCATAAATAAATTATTTATTTTCACCATAATTTTAAATAAATAATTGATATCATTTTTAGTTTCAATCTTAATTTTAAAAAAATACTTAACATATTTTTATTAAATTTAAATTTAATATTTTAATTACAAATTTAGGTAAGAGATGAGGAAAAAACTAAGGATGAATGTGAAAAGAGAAAGAAAAAAAAGGAAAAAAATGATTCTTATACATAAACTGTAAGATCAAATAAATGTACAGAAATTATATTTAAGTAATTTTTTAAAGGTATTATTTATAACATTAATTCGTTAACTTAGTGAGAAAATGATTTATTAATAAATCTCCAAATGAATATTTTAACGGGTAAATTGAGAGGTTCCAAACATAATAGTCTTATTTTCATGTTAGAATAAAATCAACAAACATCATCTTTATGGAAATTTTCTTATAATGAACCTTGATTTATCATTTTTAAAATTAAAAAGAAATTATATCTAATCCATATCCAATGAATAAAATTAAATTTAAAATCTAAAAATACTAAATTTATATTTGAAACGAGATAATAATAAAAAAAAGACTTTTATTATTGGATTTGAATTCTCACTTCATTTCATTGCTATTAAATACTATAATAAATATCTTTATATATTTGCCACTTTAACAAAATAAAACACTTTACTCTCATAACGTACATTCATATGTTCCTTTTTCATAGATTTTACCCAATTGAGGTGGGTAGATTATACTATATTGATTCTTCTTCATAGCTTCCTTCATAATGAGTCGATCAAAGAGCTTTTTTCTACATATTATTGTTAAAATTTATCTATCTGTTTGATAAATCAAAATATTGAATGGATCTAACTCATCTTTTATCCTAAGAAAAAGTTTGTTTAAGTAAATATCAAATAAACTAAATTAAAGAATTTTAATGAAAACTTTAATCCAAACATTTATTAAGTTGCTTATTCATAATTACCTAAAATATTTCAAATTATCTTATATATTATGAATTAGTAAAACATTTAGTTATCTTTTTTAATTGTGTAAGATGAATGCAATTTTTTCAACAAATCAGGGTAATAGTGAAATTCTTTATTCATGATAAGCAACAAGTTTGTGAACTAAAATTCAAACAATGTGAGGTTTTTTTAAGTGTATAGAGTGTTTTTAGTCAAGATTGTGGATATAAAATGTCTTTTAACCCAGTGTAACACATAGATTCTATTTTTCAATATATTGTCCACTTCGATTCATATAGGTATTACAATTATGTCTTTAATAGGTACCTCATTGGATTGAAGAATTTGTTCGAAAAATATATTGTTATTAATATAGTTTGTACTTATTAAATTTTCTCAAATTAAAACTGAGACACTCTGTAAAGACAAAATTATGAATTCTACCAATGCAATTAAACAACATTAAACGACATACTTAACGATTTAAATGTGTTAAATGCTGGGGTAAAATTAGTTTTTCTATGTTTTTATTCAAAATGTCAGCTTAATTCAACTATTTTGTTTTGGAAAAATTACAATGTAAACGGGTGAAAATAATGGTTATTGTTTATTATTTTCAATGAAAAAAATTTCAAATATAAACTTATAAAAAATTATACTTTGTTTTTTCAGTAAGAACAGGAAAAAAGAAAAATAGAAAAAAGATTTTTTCAAGCCAATGGGCCAAGCTTATTTCTCTGTCCAGCCCAATATTAATCTGAAAACCTAGTGGTCCGATTTAACCTTTGTTCAACGATACTATTTGTTTCTTGAGCCTGCTATTGGCACCCCAAAGTTACTATTCAAACTCAACAGAAGTGAAGAAACAAAATATCTTGTAGTATTTAGTTAAAATATTTTAGACAGAAAGTTTCTATTGTATAAAAATTTTCCTTAAAAGAAATAATATAAATGTAATAATTCTCCTTTTTGTTTTTTTTTAAATAACAACAGAAAATATTATCTAATTTTTTTCACATGATCTGTATAATGTATATTGGATTCAAATTCTCTACCACCACAACACAAATTTAATGCAACAAAAGCTTATCTTTCTGTATTAATTTAAAAAAAAAAAAAGAGAATCATACAACAGAAACTTGTTATTATGAGAAGACTTTTGGTCAAAAGAAATAAAAGCAAAAAAATTAGGAATGCCAAAAGAAGTGCACCTTCATCTTACAGAGATGGCCAATGGAAGAAAGGTTCGAACCTACATCCTCAAATCCCACAGTAAATTTGACTCACTTTTGTTTTTCTTTTGGGATGAACAAAACGACAAATATATTACTTTTATTAAATTACTTTTATAACTAATATTTTTATTCTTGACATTATATATATATATATATATATATATATATATATATATATATATATAGTGGTTTCTGACGAGTGAATGTTTATTATTTGCTAGATTTGTTCAGTTTTATACTTAAGTGTAATTTTGCTTAATTTTTATATGACAGTTTTTTATTTTATTTATGAAAAAATTAGCTTATTCAAGTTGCATACTTTGATTTCTGCTCCTAATGGAGGTCTTTTGTATCCTTTAGAATGTATAATTTTTTTATTTTGTCCTTGAAAGTTAATAATTAAATAAATACATTATTTTTGAAATAATTTTTTTTCTTTTGAATTAGTCTTTTTATTTAAAACAAATTCTTGTATATTATTATTAAAATATAATTTTATTCTTAAATATATAAAATAAATATTATATTTTATAATATTACAGAAAGATTGAACTGTATTTTAATGAATAATATGTAAGAATTTATTTGAAATGGAAAATGATAATGAGAGATAGAAATTACTTCTTTAAACTTTATTTAAGTTTTAAGACTAAATTTAAATTTCTATACATTTAAAGGATCAAATTGATCCATCTACCTATATAATAAGATTGTTTCATAATTAAAGAAAGACAATTTGGAGAAGTAAAGCAAATTTAGGTTGAATTAAAAGAAGGAAAATCTAATTAACTAAATCAATTCAAAAAGTTAATTAATCACTTTGGATGAATATTCAGGTCAAATTCAGAAAAAAAAATGCAAAAGTTATATATTTTTTTCTATATTACACAGATCTCTTGCACTCAAAACTACACTGTGAATGAACAACTAATCTGCAAACAAAAGAAATTTTCCAAAGTGATTAAATAAGAGAGGGGGAAAAGAAACCCTCTTAAGTGAGTAAATTAAACGAACAGTTTTGTCCTATTTTATGTATCACTTTTTAAGTAAATTTTCTGCCTAGTTACTGGCGTTTTGATTTGTTCACAGTTGGAGTAAATTTATATGGATGAACTGTTTTTCTTCTCCCAAGTACATGCTAACAAAATATAGTTTTTCCCCAACACCGACAGGTATAAAAATAAAGTGGAAAGTGTGCCATTTTCATCCTAAACAAACAAGAAAACAAAATATCATGCTCTTTACATTTTTACAGCACAATTTTCGTACTCTCTATTCCATTATCCATCATGCTCTTTTTTTTTTTTTTTTTTTTTCCAATCTATTGTGGCTGCTCACATTAGATCCAAGCATCCATGATAAGTGGCATTAAAAACATTTTTCTTGTGCCGTAAAAAGAGTCAAATATGGGAATGCAAGAAGCAAATAATTTGTACAACTAATAGCCAAATTCTACATTCTATTGGATCAAGAAAAATTACAAGAGAGAAGAAAAGAAAATAGCCAAATTAATCCTAACCCAATTCAACTTAACTCATCCCATCCCAATGAAGAGAAAAACAAAAGAGAACATGACCTATTCCCCCACCCACTTCAAGAAAAAGCAAAAAAGAAACAAAGAAAGGAGAAATAAAAGAAAAAAGCTCCATTGCTCTACAAATACTCGATACTATCACCAACCCCGTAAGGTCCATAATTTGAGCCTCCTTCATTTAACAGTTCCTGGATTACACCAAAAGACAAAGAGGAAATTATCAGAGAAGCACCTAGCTAGTGATCACATAAAAGAAAAACCAAAATAAATGCAAGTAATGAAGTCTTATTCCACAAGTGAAGATTGACTATATATATCATATGACAGTATTGAGCTGGTTCAAAGCTAAATCTCTAGACAGAGAAGCCAAACAAATAAATAAAAGTGAAGAAAAAGTATTAATTTATGACCTGAGAAGAAGTGACATTAATTGGAGGCGCTTCATTGGCCACTGCAGACTTTGGTTCTGAAGAAGTTTCAGAACTCTTGTGAGGCTTCTTGGAGCCGATGTGAGTCTTTCTGAGCCCCAAAAGCCCCTTCCACCTTGTTGAGGAAGCCTTGGGTGGCCTGAGAGAAAAACCCTGATCATATTCATCATCATTTATGAGGAGCTCTTCCTTGAGAGTGGTGGTGGTGGCCCTTTGCTGGATCATGTGGTTGTTGTAATTGTCCTTGTACGACAACAGCCTGCCCTTGAAGAAAAGCTCATCAGCACTCATCATGGAGTAGTTTGTGACTGAAAATTCGAAGTCTGAGGACACTGCAGGCGCGTCTGATCTTGAGCCTCTTTGTTCCTGTTGCTTCATGGCTTGCTGCACATCAACAAAGTCATTTGAGAAAGAGATTCTAGGGCTCATTGGAGCGCACTGATGATGTTGCTGTTGATGATGATGATGATGATGATGATTATCATCACGCTTGTGGTCCGAGTTGTTGTACATGTCTAAGCATGCCATCAGATTTCACAACACCACATCTAAAATAAAAAGAAAACAAAATGGATGCATGCGAGAAGTAGAAACAATAAACTCCTCTTGGGACCCCCTCTTTCACACTGTGGCAACCCCACTTACAGCAGATGTTTGTATTTATATGTGTCACAGAAGGGATCTTCCTTTGGATTTTTCTTCCCTTCTTTGCAAATAAATACTATTATTTACATGCATGGCATGCCGTGACATGATGTTTTGTCATGACATGTTAATTTGGCATTCAATGACGGTCAATCTTCAAGATTTGTACTGCCTCCAGTTTACACTGCTCTCCTTGGACACATGTGAATTGTGAGTGCGAGGAACTGCCAACAAATTAAGTTTTTTTACTGTTTATTTATTCTCCTTCTCGCCTTTTACCCCATGGCCATTGGCTGGTTGTAACTGATGCAAAAGCTCTCCTTTTTAGGCCAATCCCTTGTGTTTCATGCTGTAATAATATAAACAAAGTTTTGGGAAGATTCGAAGAACTTGCACTTTTAACTATGTCATCTCATCATCCAATGCACAGTAATAACAAAACATATATTAGGCATTATCCATATTTTTTCATTTTTTAACAACTAGAATAATCCAACCACCAATGCATACATAAAACAAAGGGTTTTTGCATGTTTGCTGTTCTCTTCAGGTCAAGAAAAGCAAAGGGTGTTAAAATTAGTAGAGAGGTCATGGAGAAGGAGAGTTGATGACAGTTAGCAAGCATTATTATTTGTGGCACAGACAGCAACAGCAAAGAGATTTAAATTAAAGAAATGGGGTATTGAGATCATGAAGAGTTAAATGGTTGGAATATTTTTGAATGGATGAAAGTCTGAAGGCTCCCACCACCACCACCACCAAAGTGGCAGAGTTACAGATTACAGTTACAGAGAGGACCGGCATGCGCATGCATATATGCTGTATCCATGCACATTTCATCTCTCATAATTGACCCAACTTTGACTCTAAAATCAAACAAAGCCAGGGAATGAGCTGGCGACACTAACGGATCAAAGTGACCACGTGACTCTGGATTGTCTTTCGGTTAGGTAATCATATTTAACTTAATCACTCAAATTTATTAATTCAAATTCAAACTACTAAATCCTCAATATATAACCAACATGGGTGAGGAAGATACAACATTTTATTCACACCACTTATTAGATCCAAAATCTTGATAATAAGTTTCAAAAATATTGCTTTACTTTTTTGTAAGTTGAATTGATTCAATTTATTCAATTCAACATGTCAAGACTCAAGCTTCTACACAGACACTACAATATATATCACAAAAAGGATAAATTAGATTCAATTGACTAATCTTTTTAAGCAAATCCTTGATGAGTCAACCGTGATAAGTGAAGTTTTCACTCTTTAAAACCTCCATTCCGAGCCACATCCTACAAAGGGGATGTTTTAATAAGTTCGAGGTGTATATATATATATTTCATGCCAAGTTTTAACTGTAATGTCATATTCATATCTCTAGCTAAGTAGTACATGTTCATATTGAGGTGCTTGCATTGATTGGCTGTAATGAGGCATATAAATTTCCTTCCCTTCTTCCAAGTTGGACAGCTTCGGTCTTCACCAATCACCAATTCATATAACTATTTGAATCTTTATCTGTAAATATTCCTGGTACGCACCAAATGGTTTTGCATCCCAATTGCAACTTCTGTTATGCCAATCATAGGGAGGAAACAAACACAGCTATCGTCCATAAATCAACAAATATAATCAATCATACAAATTGATAGCAATAACAATATATATTACTATTTGTTTTGCAAATGGCAGAGAGAGAAAGAAAAGGGAGAGGGGTCATAGTATTGAACTCTTGGACTATTGTTTAGAAGTAGAATTACTCAGTCTTCAGGACCAAGAAAGCCTGGTAACATGCAGGGAAAGGACACAGGGTACAAAAAATGTATTAAAAAAATAAAAAATTTTAAATTAAGTTGCAGCAAAGGACATAGTTGTCACTCACGTGGTTCAACCATTTCAAGTGATTGTCCTAATGGGGTTATGACATGTGGCTGATTGCCACAAATGAAAGCCTTCGAACATGGACCAGTCAAACACAATCTGCAAATTCTTGGAGAGAAAAAGGCTGTTCAATTTGGCCTCATCCTGGTTTTGGTCTTCCATCTTATTGGCTGTGATACTATCTAAACTCAACTTAATTTCACATTAATCACTTCTTCTATATTTAATGTCTATCTATGCTCCTTTCCCAATGTCAGATCACAACAAAGAACGAACTAGCTAGAAGATTCTCTCATGTTTACTTACCTAGTTGATTCTCTAATGTATATAAATATGTTTGGACAAATTTTTTTCATAAATTTTTCGTTTATTATGGAGAAATTTGTTTAAACATAATAGAATCCTTTCTTTCAACTCATTGGTTCTAATATTTTTAACATAATAATTTGATTGAATAGCAGTGTCTTAGAGATGGATTATTCCCACCCTTAAGCTTCCACTGCAATAGTTTTTGTAAAATAATGCTTGCAAATGGAAAATCAATGTAAATTTAATGCAGCACTACAATTTCATCATTGAAAATGGTTACCGATGAACATGGTTGGAGGTATGTATATAAAAGAAATGAGTGAAGAGTAATGATTCTGCTGAGAAATTGTTTTGGAGACAGATATGGACCTACATTTAAAGAACACCTTCCAAAAGTGTTGATGCTGTTAAGAGGCTTTCTTTCAGCCAGTACTTGCACTGTGATATAAGTTAAAGTAGGGCAAGTCACGCTTGCTGAATCTATTCATTAATTATCGTCACTTTTGGGGACTTTTCAAACCCCTTTTTCACTCTCTTCTGCTAAATTCATCTCCAAATTTCGATACGTGAAAAACAATTATTTGCGGGTTATAATAAGCAATTAATACATCAATGGTTTTGTAAAACGATATATAATTGGAGACATTTTTTTTCTTTAAAATGTCATATAAAGTGAAACGGATAGAGTATATCAGGAAAAAAAAAACTTCATCTTAATCTTTTTAAGATTATATATTTCTGATATATAAAATATATATAATGAAGTTTCTCTTTCTCAGTATTTTATAAATATAATATATTTTTTCTTATTTTAAAATATAATAAAAATCTCTTAATTTTTTATTTAAATAAAAAATAATAAAATGTATATTTTTAACAATATTTATTATCTCCGTAATATTATCTTGTGAGAATTTCAACGCATGAACTCACAAAAGTTTCTTTTCTATTTGTCGTACATTTTTTACTTTAAACAACTCAATCATTAAGTTTCTTAAACAGACCCCGCAGTGTTTCATACGTAAATGGTTGGTTACTTTAAAAATATAAATGAAATATTTTTACATTATATATATACACTACTTGTGAACCACTTTTTTTTAAGAGAAACCGTTGCGAAATAAAAACTAGGTCTTATTAAATTTCTCTCAAAACAATATCTATTTAATCTGTCTAGGAGAGCCCTGGATATGCTTTAACTCTATCCAATATTATATGTAATTATTTGCACTAAAATAACAATAACTAATTTTAGTTGGTTTTTTATTTGAATCTTTTTTTTCTATCCACAAAATTTAAAATCGAAAACTTATTTCAAGAGATTGGATTCAATGTCACTCTATACTACAGTGTATAAATATTATAATTTGTTGAGAAAGAATCAACTTGAGTGAAGCAAGCGTAAAAAAATCACGTAAAATGTAGGATCATAAAAATGCAGAATCTGTGCGCAGTTGTTTCGTTTCTATTTCCGTATACACGGTTTGTACATTGATAGAATAAAACGCCGCAACAAGTGATGTGCTCTCGAAGTTCGAAACTCACACGGGGCAGCTGTAAACAAATAACTTTGTTTAATTAACTTCATCATCATCAACGTATGCTCTTTCAATCTGAGCATTGTTTATATATTTGGGCCTTTTTGGAGTGGTTGTTTTGAGAAATTTTCATACCACTATTTTGTTTTTGGCTGATTCTATGTCTCAAAAACTGTATGCATCCTTTAGAGAGGGCCAGGGCAAATGTGCATCTCAGGAATATCAAGGTCACACGAACATCTATCCTATTAAATTAATTACCTTTGAATAAGAGTTGTGCTAGTAATAAATTAATTAAGATACCCCTTTCATTAATGTGTTGATACGAACTCAATAAATTCTGCTCTTTCTAATGCTGTTTGATTAATAGTTCAGAGAGTATATAATAAAATGCTACATGAAATTTCCTGAAGAGTTTTATTTCAAGCATTGATGATACCAGTTATAGAACCTATAGAAATGATTCCTACAGAATCATGCATGTCATCAAATCATAATTCTGGGCTTCTAAAAATCTCTACTAAAAATATGTGGTCAAGAAGAACCTTGAAACTATTTCTAGTAGTTGTTAGACCAGGAAAATCATCAGATTAAGAACTGTTTGTTGATTACATGATTCTGTGTTTCAGGAGTTTCTTTCTGTATATAATTGCAGTGAAAGTTAAAGAGCTACCACAATTTTGTTTCATTGGCCCATGATTTAGCTGTTTCATAACTTATATTTCAAGGTCTGTTCTCTGATTTCATTTTCCTTCCCATCATAGTTACAGTAGGAGATTATCTAGAGGGAGAAAACAAGGCAGGGAATATCTATATCGCAACTATTAAACCTGTTACTAAAATTATTAAACCTGTTATATCGCAACAAGACAAAGTAACATTTACCTATATATTTATATCGCAACTATTAAACCTGTTACTAAAACTTAGGCAATATTAAGCCAACACACTAACTACAGCCTCTCTAGCACTAAAGAAAAGAAAAGGAAACTAAATATATTAAGACAAACGACATAAACATTGGACAAGATAATTAATGGTCATTGATTATCCCCAGAGTCTAAACACTTAGCCTAGTTTCTTCCCACTCATCATCATCCTTGTAAACTCGTTCAAGTCAATAAAACCATCTCCATTTTGATCCACCCCTTTGACCATTTTTTTGCATGCACTAAGGCTGCAACTCTCTCCTAGCCTCTTGAGAACTTGGGACAACTCCTGAGCACTAATCTTCCCATCACCGTTCAAATCAAACACTTGAAACGCATTCTTGATCTCCGTTTCTTTTATCCTATCCTCTCCATAGAACATCTCCATGAACTCTTTGAAGTCAATGAAACCATCTCCATCAGAGTCCATCACCCTAAAAGCCTTGACTGCTTCAGCTTCCCCAATGCCACTATCCAAGGCCCTTGCAGCAGCCTTGTACTCTTGAAGTGAGATCTTGCCATCTTTGTTGGTGTCAAATTTCTGGAACACCCATTTCATTTCCTCTTCTTTTGGTTGGAAACTCTGTCCTTCAATCGATGTCTGTCTTGATATGAAGCTGTTCTTCTTGGCTACATTCTTGCGTGAAGAGGAGGGTTTCCATGAGAAGCTATAATTGAACTTGAAGAAACTCAAATTCGACATGTATATGGTTTGTTTTGGGATACAAAAGATACACAAATATTAGGCTTTGGTATGATTATCAAGGCTACTATACATCATGGTTTGTTTATATAGATAACCTTCCGCCTTTGGATTCCCTCGAGGCTCAGGTTATTGTTTCTAAAGGAAAAGTATAGAATCTGAATAAAGACTTGTTCTAATGCCCTGGAGTTTAAACTCTAGTTGATATATGCTTTATGCTACATTCTTTAGGAATGTCAGTTTCTACTCACACACTCAAGCTGTTTATTGATAAACACTAGTTTGGTAAGTTAGAATCACTTTTTATGGTTGGGATTGGTCACAATTCACTTCATTTTTTGTAAACGATTCCTTTCGATCATTTTCGTAAAACCGTGTATTCACCACATGCCCCACTGAGAGAGTTGAACGAATCCTATTCTTTTGTCACTTGATGATGTGTTATGATGTATATATACGTCGTGGATCAACCTTTTTCGTTCTTCTTCTTTTTTCTTGGTGATACAAGAGATTTATTCCTATCTCTAAGAAATATTGCCGATTACATTCTAAATTTTATAGTCTACGTGAAAACTGTGTACTTTAATGAATATAGTTTTTGTTCATGACAAAACTTGTAATTGCTTTAAGTTGCTACAAAACAAATTCTTCTTCTTCTCAGTGTTTAGAGGAACAAAAGCTACCGGTGTCATTGGTTGTCTAGACCCACCACTCAATCTATTTCAATCCAAATAAATTATATTGGATTTTATTATTTGAGATAAGATTAAATCCGATTCAATCCAAACTAATTTAATCTTACACGTTAAATGATGTATTTTGTATATTTAATTCGACTCGTCTCAATTTATTTATCAAATTTATTAAATAATAATAATATAAGTATTGTTTAATTTATTAAACTAATTAATTTTTTTGAAATATTAAATAATATAACTGTTTTTAAAATATTATTTTAAAATGATCAAAAAATGTTTTAATATAAAAAAAAATTTACAAAAAAATACACAACTCCATCTAACCCCATTCCAACCCAATAATTTTTTATTGGATTAGTTCATGGGTGTAATTAAATCTCACCCAACTCAACTTATGTACGCCTCTAACATAAACAAATTACCTACCACTAAGTTTAGGTGGTGTTTCATCAATAAAATATTGACATATGAATTAAAAATATTTGGTAATTATCTTTAATATTATTAACATTAATATAATTAATACATTTATCTTACAAAACAATTAACCGTATAACTTCTTTTTAAAAATTATATAAAAAAATAGAATTATAAAAAAAAACATTTTCCAATACATGTATCAATTTTTATTATAAGATAAAAAAGTGAGAGAAATAATTTATGTCCCAAAATTTATTATGAAGAGAAGAAAATATGGAAATGGATATTGAAAAATAAGGAAAATTCTATCTTTAGAATAATGCAAAGTATTCTTCTTCTTGTAGTACTGCATAACGCAACGCAATGGGCCCGTTATTGATTTTTAATTAACTTCGGATTTTAATTTTGAAAAGATTGATCCTTAACTTTATTCTCTCTCTTTTTTTTATTATTCTAAAATAACATCGAATATACATCAACTTACGCAACTTAGGCGTCCTGTAGATAATTATGACTGAAAGTTAGGAAGTATACAGGGTTTTTTTTTTTTCACATTGAGTAATGCTAGTAGATAATTTGTAATTTAAGAATGTTAATTGGATTGGATATTCAACAATCTAATTAATATAAATAGATTAAATTTAGTTTTTTTTTAATTAGGTCAAATTCAACTCAATCAAATTTAATCTAATGTTCAATGAATTTATATATTTAATCCAATATCTAATTTTAAAAATTAAAAAATGTTGTTTGGTAACTATTTTTATTAAAACAATTTAAAAACATAAGTTTCGATTTTTAGCATTTAAAATTAAAAAAAATCATATATAATAAAACAATTTTTTTTCTTTTAATTAATGAAATGTATATCTTCACTGATACTTATATCATATCACTTATTTTTATGATGATGAACTTGTAAAATTAATACTCCAACTTCTATTGAGACTCTTTGCAGTATTTCAATCCAAAATAATTTTCAAATTAGAAGTAAAAAATATTTTTATTGAACCTATTCTCAAAAATAATTTTTTTAAATTGATTTCTTAAATAATGTTAAAAAATAGAAAGAAAAACTAAATTAAACAAACCCTAAACAATATTAACATTAATAATCATAATTAATTATATAAAATTTAATATAATCTATTCTCTAAAGAGATATTTAAAATTACATTCTATAATAAAAATGTGTAACTCAAATTTCAGGCATATGAAGTTCACACTAGATGACACACATCTGAAGCTCTAAGATATTATTCTTACCACTAAACCATCTGCAATTAAACAGTACTTTGAGCATATTAACTGACCTAATTTTCATTAAGCCAACAAGTTGTGTACGTGCAAGAATCAAAGGAAAAACATGATAATGACAAATAAATTTACAATAATACAATAGAGTCAGTTATAAGGTGGCCCACATAATATAAGGCCATGAAGAGACTGATATCTGTCAGAGTGGTTAATTTAATGATGTCTTTTTTCCTATTAATCCATGAATACAGGAATGTTTAAATTAATTTATTTATATATAAGTTGTTTGGAAAGTCCATATGATATTTTTAAGTCCTTTAACTAAACATGTCTTATCACATGTGGCACTAACGTGCTGTTTGGGCTGCAACAAGCCCATCAAGTGACCCATCTACCCATATTTCAAATAAAGCTCATCAAACCTGCAATGGATAATCTTTATGTTGCTGCCAATAGGCATGGCAATCAAATCCCACCTGTGGGGATCTATCTCAGCCTTAAGATTGACGGGAAAATATGAGATAATCCAAGTTTTCCTCGCTTGAGAAAAAAATATTAATAATTTTATTTATATAATATATTTATCTCAATTTTATATATAAATTTAATTTTTAAAATATTAACATTTTTTTACATATCTCTTTTTCTTTTTCATATTATTAAATTTATATTTTCATTCATTTATCTTCTATTCTTATAATATTCTTTCATATTTCTTTAATCTCTTCATCTAATTTTATAAACATAACAACCAACATTATTTATTTTTAATTTATGTTTACTACATTTTGTTATTTGTGAATTTTATTATTCTAATTTATATCAAAATTTATGTTAATTAAATAATTTTATTTTGAATTATTAATAGCTTTCAAGAAAAATAAAAATTTGTTACTTTACACTCATTTAATAAGAATTATTTGATTAAATATATTTTTATAAATTATATATTTATATTTATTAATAACAAACCTAAAAATTAATTAACTTATACATATAATAAATTTAGGTACAATATTATATAATAATAATAATAATAATAATAATAATAGTAATAGTAATAACGAGTATTTTTTGTCTATATAAAAAAAACTGATCATATATTTTTTTCATTCATATATATTTTAATATTGATATAATAAATTAAATTATATATTTAAGTAATAATAATAATAAATATTTATTTATATATAAAAAATAATGTTAAAACTCATTTATTATAATTTATGTATAGTTATATTTTTTAGAAATAATACATACCCGAAAAGAGAAAATCGAAACCTATATTTGTATATTTCATAAAAATCCTACATGATAGGAACGTTTTGGTGGTTTCAGTTAAATTACCTAATTAAATTAATAATTTGCTTTAAACAAATCTTACAAGTAAATACGCATTTTGGATGAAAGGAAAATAAAAAATAATCATTTGTATTAATACATTTCATTTTATAAAATATTTATATATGAGAATAAATGACTTGAAAAAAATTAAAATATAACAATTATAAATATTTAAAATATAGTTATTAAATTTTAAATTATGGACATTACTTATGTCATTTTACAACTATCAGCTAAATCAACAACTAAATCAAACACTTTCAATTAAATGAACTATTTTATCATCTTCGAACTTCTGGCTAATACTTCAATTTCTGGCTTCCATCTTCCTAGTCGCCTACAGGTAAATTAATATTACCTGTACGATCAAATTGATTGTCTTCTCACATTGTTTTATAACCAATTTCACACTACTCAGCAATCAATCTTTCATTCAATACCTTCGAAATTTGTTTCCAAAAGAAATGTTCTAGAAAGAAAAAACAGAAACAGTCAAGAGATGTTTTCTCACTCTCTTCTATTTTCATCAAATATTCTCTTCCTTTCATCTAAAATCTATTAAATTTCGAAAATTGTTTCCAAAAGAAATGTTTTAGAAACTAGAAAAACAGAAACAGTAAATAGATGTCTTCTCACCCTCTTATATCTTCTTCAAATATTCTGTTCAAGTGCTTGTTTGTATGAGATGAATGTTACTGCCTGGACGTTTCACCATGATGTTTGAAGATATGAGGCTATTATGATTCATGAGCCTGTTTGCTTAAGATGAATGATACTGCCTAACTTTACCAATGGGACAAATTTTTTTCCCTTTCATGTTTTATGCACAGGAAAGCCACATATGGTACTAGTAAGTATTTTAACCAGAGTACAGACTTCATCTGATGAGGACATGAACGAAGAGAAGAGAAGATCATTCAAAAAATTTAAGGAATGATCACTAAAACTAAAGAACAACCAAACGAGAGACTCTAAGAACACAACAATTATTAAGGAAGGATCACGAAGAGAACGATTAAGGCTTTGAAGAGGAAATTAAGAGTAGTTGTCTTCTTAAAGAGTAGTTGTCTTCTTAGTACAGAGAATAAAGAATTTTCAATGTTAGAAGTTTTAGGATTAAATAAGTAACATTTTACCAAGACCTATAAATAGAGATAAGATCATAATTAAAACTGCTAGTAAAAACCGAAATATAGTGGACATGAAGAAACTAAATGACATATTCGTTCTTTTTAAACATATGTTTATAAAGCTCTTCCCTAAATTTCCATTTTTTGAGAGAAAAAGATAAAAGAATCTTACAAATAAAAAGACATATAGTAACATAATTTAGAAAGAAAATTCTCATACATCTACCCATTCTATGATTCCAAATCAACAAACTTCTTAATCATCTCATGAATTAAATTAAAGAACCAATCTAATGAAAATATTTAGTAAGCTTTGTTTGGTTCTTGATAAATATGAAAGCATTAGAGTGTTTACATCCAAGAATAAGCTACGAGAGGCATTTTGACACAATATATCCCAAACATGTAAACAAATACCCACGAACTTATATTGGGAATCCATTTTATAAAGAAATTAAACAATTTGCAATTTTTAGAATTTTTATGAATTAAAAACTTTGTTTGGTTTTTAGAATAATAGGGTTAAAGTGTTTGCATCCAAGAATAAGACTTATTTAAGAAAACCTATAGTTAGATTTTGGTCTAGACATAGTTTGACAGATATGGTAAATCCATTATATAGGTCGACATCACCATCTAAATGTCCTTCAAATATAAGCCTCGTATATTGGTTTACATTTTTCAAGTAAAAATAAATACCCTCGTATACGTTTCTTTGCTTGGAAAATCACTTACGTTTCTCTTTTGGTTTACATGCAACACAAAGTCACTTGTTAACTTTAATTTGATTATGCTCCTAATCAGTATAAGATCCCTATACATACTCCTCACTTAAGAACTAGACATCTCATACATAAAGTTGATAGGACTAAATATTTGCAAATGGTCTGGTAATAGTTAACCTAATAAGGTAAAAAATAATTGTTAGAATGGGTTATGATATCATCTTTTGAATTTAGAATTGTGTTTAACTCAATCTCACAAAATTATCACTCACTTGTATATTTAAATTTAGTTATATCTCTAGTTAATGTAAGATCTTCAACCGTCCACAAGATATTGTCCAAATTCATGGAAGCCTAATTGAAAATCACAAAATCCCTACCCTGCAAGTGCTAGGATAATTAGCTCATAGCAAAGGTAATCTCAATGAAAACTACATTCCGTATTCAGTACACTTGTTAAATCTGCTACAGTGCTATCCCAGGCAATGGTCAAGATAAATACAGGGCCCCAGATTTCAGGCAAAACTAACCACATAAGAAATGACACTGAGATTTCAGTACTGTTCAACTAGTAAATTTTGCCTTGACATAGTTCACATGTCAATCTTAGCGTTCCACTGTGTATATAGCAATACATGTACCACAAATACTGCACGTCGAGCATTATCAATGCTTCGTTGATGCATGAGACGTTTTCTTTTTACATTTTACCACGCGTTTGACATTTCACCTCATTCTTAAATTTCTCCCAAAGATATATAATTACAAGCTACTCCCATTAATGTTTTCAGAGAGAGAGAGGAGGGGAAAAAGAAAATTGACCCTCAATTGCTTCCTCCCCTCAAATACCCCTTTTACAGTGTTCAAATATATATTACTATTACATCTCCAAAAAAAGAGAAGACTAAGAAATTTGTCATTTCTACCAAATTTCTGTATTCTAATTTTAAACAACCAATGAAAGATGTCATCTAGCATAAAAATCTAAACATTCAATATAGTAATAAAAAATAACAATATATTTTTTTTGTAGAACTGACTAGTGACTACTCACAGAATATTCAAAGGAATGGGCGAGCTACAAGTCTTCAACCATTCATGAAGGCAAGTGATCAAATTCTTTGCTTTCTTCAAGAAAGAGCTAAGACTAAAGATCTTCATCTTCATAAAATGTCAAGAATCTACAATGTGTTTTAAGATATGTAATTATAAGACCAATTGAAGAACCAAAAAAGACGTTTACACAATAGTACTAACTGAACACGAGGACCAATATGAATAAGAAAAAAAAAAAAAGAGTGTTTCATCCAATAATGTATAGGACCGACTTCCTTGCTCTGAAAAAAAAACTAATATATATGAATATGCTTCAACTAAATTCAGAGTGAGATGAGTGCCACGATTGTTCCATAGTCAAACTCAATAAATAAGAGTTACCAAGCAAACTTACTCGCATAGGCATCTCTTGCATGACAATATTGCTGCTCTCTTCAATACTTTTTAGAGTCACCACTTCTCCACCAACCACCATATTAATAACAATTCCATCTGCACATTACTGAGGAATCTTAGCAACAATGCAAAACTACAAACTATCACACTTGAACAAAAGATAGATACAATTCCTCAACTATTGTATGTGTTGTTTTTCAATCAAAACTGAAAATTCACCTCAATAATAAAGGTTTGCTTTAAAGAATTAGGCAAACTTTCGAGATAAAACTTCAATTATTATTAGTAAGTAGCACAGTTAGTATCTAAGGAACTGTATCTATGCTTTGTCCAACTTTAAAAACTATAGAAGTAGGCAATAAAGAAAAGACCAGCTGTTAAACAAGTTGTCAATCGCCTGGCGTATGTCTCCTGCAGGAAACACAAAAAAAATGAGGAAAATAGGAAACACCAATTTCACATTACATAAACAACTAGACCTACATTCTTCTGGTAGAACGATACATAAGAATGCATACAGTGACGATAAATATCAACAGCAGAAATTAAAAATTGTAGGAAGAAAAAATAAGAGGGAAACCTTCTTTGCTGGTAACTCGTAGTTAATGAGAAGATGAGCATTCAAGGGAAGTTCCCCAGAAGAAAGGAGAGGGAGGCACGCGTCTGTTACAATGATCATATGAGATCTCTCGTCTTTCCCAATCTCATCCTCGTTGGGTGCTCCACCGTGATTCGTCTGGTTCCACCGTGCTGTTACCTGTCGAAAATTTTCTAAAATAAAAGCGCGTTCATCTTCACCGAGATCACTGTACTGACACACGGAAAGGGGAAAGCGAATTAGTAAATAACTACTGTAGCGCGTGGGAATTACGGGGTAGAGAATGATTGGGAGATGGAAAAATAGGAGACATACAAGAGCAGAGGAGGAAACAACGGGTAGAGCGGGGACAGAGGAGCAGAGAAAGTCGAGATCGTCACGCGTGCTGCAACAGACGACGATGGGCAAGCATGGACGTCGAGCCACCAGATCCACGAGTTCAATCACCGTTTGCTGCCATCGGTCCATCGTTTTGGATAATAAAAATCGGAAACCAAAAATGTTTTACGAATGAAAATGCTTGAAAGAATGTACCATTTTGAATTGGAGCCTGTCAACTGCGAGATAAAAATGGCGTGGGTGGCTGAAAATGAAGGAAAGGGGAGAATATGACTGAGTATAAAATGAGAGTTAAAGGGGAAAAGAGGAAGGAGAATGAAGAGAACAGTACCCGGATGGTCCGGTCTGAATCGGCGGAGACGAAACATAAACGCTGTCGATGGCCATGGTAGAGGAGAGGAGGGTAGACGCTGCACTCTTGCACTTGGATAAGCTCAGGGATCAAACTTCGAAGATGCCCATGCCCCTGGTTATATTTTTTTACTTTAATATTTTTTTTTTATGAAACAAGGGCGATACATAAAAGAATCACTTTTGCTAATATAATAATAATATTATTATTGTTTTCTTTCCCATAAATTATCTATAAGTTATTTTGTTAGAATGGGTTATTAAATAATATTTTTCATAAAATCAATATATTAGGTCTAAGAATTAATTGTATTAAAAAAAAAAATATATATATATATATATATAAAAATAAATGTTGTCTCAATTTTTTTTATGATTTAATTTTCACACTTAAAGAAGTCATCGTCTTAATTTATATATATATATATATATAGATATGTCAAAAAATTTCACATTAAATTAATGGTTTGTTTAGATTTAAGTCTATCTCAATTTTTTTATAAAATAATGTTTTTTATGATAAAATAATATTTTAATTAATCATATTAATTTTATTTTTATGATATTTTCATTTATTTTTTTTCACTTTAAATAACTTCATTTTTTATTTTATTTTTTCACTTTCTTAAATTTACTTCTCGATCTAATCACAACATAAATAATGAAAAGTGAAAAAGAAAAAAAATTGAAAGGAAAAAGTAAATAAAATTAAAGAATGAATTAAAAATAAGAAGAAACGATTTTATAATAATATTGTTTTATATTTTTATTATTATTGTATTTGTATTATTATTTGTTTATTTCTTATATGTAAAAGAGAGTTTTAAAAAAACTGTATAATATTTTAAACAATAAAAAATGACTTTATAATTGATTATGGTGTAAAAAAAAACAATACTTTACACTTTTGTTTTATTTGTATTTAGAAAAAAAAATCACATTTTATATATTCTTAAATTTTGTTTTGTCCACGCTCACATTCCCCCTCTGTTTTCTTGTTGCCCCCTATAATAAGAACTTGACTTCTCTGTTAGATTTTTGGTACTGTCTCAGTTGAATTATATTAATCAACATTAATTAAAAGTTAATTATTAAACTTAAATAGAATTATCAGATTAAGAATTTTTTTAATTTAGCGTAACAAAGTTTCAGCATTTATCCAATAAAGAAATCAAACACTTTTAGGGTTCATTCCAATAAAGAAAAAAATTAAAAGAAAAAAATTATTATTTTTATAAGAATGGAAAGTCACTTATCAAAAAATATATATTCATTTAAAAAATAAAATTTTATAATATAAAATTATTCATATAATTATTAATTAATTTTTAAATCAGTATTTTTTATAATATATTTTTTAATAGATAATTATAAATTATTTTTTATTATAAAATTATATTTTTTTAAATATTGAAAATATAAAAATTAAAATTTCATGTTAGATAAATAAGAAAAAGTAAATAAAATTAAAAATGAGGAAACATAATTTTAATATTTTAAAAATTCAAAATTAAAAATGTCCTATTCTTGTTTTTTATTTATTATTTTCTCTTTCGCAAATTAAAGAAAAAATATATCAGCCATAAAAAAATAACACAATACTCTAGTCTATTCAAAACATCATACACTTGTAGAAAAATGTTGTTTCACAAAATTTAAGTAATAGAACTTAAATATATAAAAAATGTTATTTAACTTTTTAAATTTATGAAATATTTATTAGTGAGTGTTTAAAGATTCATGTTTTTGAATTAGATTGGAAAAATTTTAATTTTGTTAATATTAAGTAAAAACGAACCGATTTATTTAACTTGTTGATGGTTTGAGCCGGATTAACAGTAAATTAATTTATTGACATATTCTTCTCAAATTTTAATATTTTAATTTTTTTATCTAGTGTAAATACATAAAAATATTATTTTAATGAACCAATTCACTAACTTAGATAATTTATCTAATTTATATATTGTAGTAATTTAAAAAATAAAAAAATAATTTTAAAATATACATATTTAAATAAGTGAATTCATGTATTTAATGACTAAATTATTTTATATCCTAAATAAAAATATTTTAATAAAAAATAAAATAAAATTACCATAATTTATATTTTTTATTTTATTTATAATTGAATTTTATCATTTTTTTAAGGATAGATATACTATGGTTAGAACCGCCGAAGGATAAAAGTAATATTTAGATAACCGCTTTTAAAAAATTACACAATTCGATATAATATAATATTATTAGATATAATAATATAATAATAAATATTATTATATTATATTATATTAGATTTTTAAAGAGGTTATCGATATACAGTTATCCTTTTTAAAACAAATGACCTGGTAGAGGGTCTCAAGTTTTTTGAATTCTTTTTTTCTATTTATTAAACTAAAATCTACAACACTTAAATTATTTAAATACTAAAAGAATATTCATGAATTAAGCAAATAATGATGAAATGGATAGATAATAATTGTTTTATTATCTAGGCTTTTGCCCGTGTGTCTGTATTTACTTTTTTTTTTTTTTTTGTAATGTTGTGTGTTAAAAATATAAAAACTATGTTAAGTATATAACTCAAAAGTTTCATATGTTTATTGGTATGTTTTAAAATCATTTATAACCACCCTAGTATTTTGTAAACCTAATAATTAGTAATAAATCATCATGAAGTACTAAAATCATGGTTTTCTACATATTACTCAATTTGTTTTTCTATTAAATAAAAAAAAAGTGATGATTTGCAGATAAAGTGATATAATTGGATTAGTCTTTTATCAAACACCATCCTTCCCGCACAAACTTAAATTCATTTAAATTTCAATAGAAAAAGTTAAAAAATTAAATCCAAAATAATAACAAGAAGTCATGCACGACGATGATACATGGATTATTGAAACCTGTTTTGGGATCAATATTCAAGTAAGGTTTGACCTACATATACATTAAAAATAACACAACCTGGACACGTGGAGGAAGCAGAGCAGAGGGTAGGGCCAACATAATTATTGCATAGCCTTTTACTTTTTCATCCTCCTATTCTTTAATTGCCTAAATAAAAAATCAAATTGCTCCTCCTTCGCTGGTTGGTTCAGTTGCAAACCTTGTTGCTCTTCATCATGAGATTTAGAGGTTCAAAGTCAACAACGGGCTTGGACTCCTTCAACCGAGGCCCACCGAAGCCCATTTGGTCTTCGCGGGCTCTCTTGTGGTGGTTGTGTCTTTTGTCCGCTAGTGTATCATCTTTCAACCAAACACCAAACAGTTTCAAACACTCTCCTCCACTTTCTTCACCTACCACCTTCTCAGATCCGCAACTTCCTTGCCGCATGATGCGATCTATCTGATCAGGCCCCACCATCAGACGGTTTTTGAGAAAACCCATGAGCTCGTCGCACTGCTTCCTCGCACGCGCCAGCTCGCTACTCAGCGTTTCGTTATCCTTCTTCAGTTTCTCATTCTCGCTCGATAACTCATGAGAAGGTGTTGTGTTTGTTTCCACCACTCCAGTGTTCTTTGAACCGGAGGAGGATGACGAAGTAGAGGTGGACCCAGCGTCGTCTCCACCGCCAGAGTTTAATGGAGAGTTGCCATCACCGCCGGATTTTCCGGGCCCCGGTGGAAGTGCAGGCGACTGCGGCACGGTCTTGCGGCGTTTGATGTCAGCGAGAAGCTCCTTCTTCCCTCGCTTGAAATGCTCGTTTGCGAATTCCCATTTGTCTGGCACAATCTTTCGGAATCCCTGCAAACTCAAAATCGCCGATTTTATTATTATTATTATTATCAGTTGTCAATTATTATTAGTAATAATTAGCAGTAATCATATTTATCGATTATTTTTGTTTTTATTTTCCTTTTTTGCCGAAATAATTATATAATATTATACTTTTTCATAAAAAAAAAATTTATATTAAGTATCATACTTCCCGGGAGCGAAAGATTTTTTTTTACAGGCCAAACGCCGCACTCCAAATGTTTTCGAGACAGCAATTGGTAAGAATTATGTAGAAAAATTAACATTAAAATCATGCGGCGTATACGTTTAAAATATTTTTCATTTTATTTAATCATTCAAACGAAAGAAAAAACCCCGAGAGTTTCCTTAATCAATAATCATGTTTTCTTGATTATACAAAAAAAAATGTTCAGTTCAAAAATAAAATGAAAAACATAATTATACCAAAACTCTACATTTTTAATAAACAAATTAATCTATATTTAAACCACTACAACTTGCAAGTTGTAATCTTTAATCACCTCTTGTGTTTATTATTTGGTATTAATCAATTTAGATAGAAAAGGACAAAAGGAATATATGTATTCCAATCATTAGTATAATTAAAATAAATAACATAAAACAGAGTAAAATTGGCATAAAAGGAATAAGAATGGAAATAAAATCATGGAAGTAAGGACAAGAAACATACATAAGTGTTGAGTTGGCGAACAAAACTGGAAAAGTTATTGTGCTTGAAACATTTAGGAAGCAAATCCTTTGCAAAATCTGCGTGTTTCCACACCACAAACGTGTTCCCACTTTCACTCCACGATATCACCTCGTTCGTCCCTGGATCCTCCACCAACTCATACGTTTTCGTCAGAAACGGTGCCGGTACAGATCTTTGCGACATAATTTCGCCCTCACAAATCTCTTCTTATCACAAATATTCCAAGTAAAAAAGAAAAGAGAAAAAAAAAAGTGTAAAAGAGAAAACTTAGGAGGAAGAACTAAAAAGGAGGAGAGCCGTCAAGAATTCCCAATCCCAGCAATAAAAGCCAGAAAGGAAGAAGCGAGAGTGAACTAAATTTTTGGAAGGTTTTCTGGGATGATCAGAATCCATGAGTCAAAATCTCCAAACCAATTACCATAATTTCACGACACAAAAGGATAATAAAGTGATGTGAATAATAAATATTCTTATTCTCCTCCTCGAGGATTCTAGGGCGAGAGAGACTCTTATATAATACGGAACCAAACATGTTCCACCCCCAGTGACGTGGGTTCTAGAAAATTTTCGAAGCCTTTTAATACATATCAAATTGCAACGTTGATTTTGGACCAAACGAAAACCGAATCCACACGGACGCAATTACAGGGCACTTTGCTTTAAACAGCAGTGAATTGGATAAGGAGGTGAGAGAAAGAAGAGAAGCATTACATTTACACACGCTTTTCACAAGGGTCGCCTTTGGCTTTCTCCCTGAAAATTGCTTTTTTCTCTTCATAGATTTTTCTAATCTCAAGTTTCTAATGCTATTCCCTGTTCCAAAACTTTTCCATTTTTAGTTATTTATTTATTCAATTTTTTTAACGAACGGACGCGTGTGTTTTTCATTATTTGTTTACAGAAAAAAAACCCTAAGAATATAATAATTTCTGGATAAATTGTTCGATACATTTGTGTAAAAAAAATAAGATAAAAATTATTCTACAAACATTCATATTTCTTCTAAATAAGAGAAGGGGAATGAGAAAGTGGGTAAGGGGGCATTTTCTTTGTTCTCACCTAACCCTGTATTTCACCGTTTGCTTCCATTCATCGTTATCGATATTTTAATTATTATGATGATTATTATTATTATAACTATGTACGTGTCTCATCATCTTTCATCAATTGGTCTCCCGTTCAGTTTGTTCATTTTCTGTGTGTTAGACTTTTCTGCCTGTTATGACCGCCCAACAAATATATTAAAAAAATATTGACAAAGGAAGAAAAATAAGACTATAATGCGATACATACACACATATGAATTTTATTTGTCCCTTGCTTAGTTTGGACTTTTATGTTCTTTCCTCCCAAATTCCTTGTAATTTTCACACTAAATTAACAACAGATTTGAAACTACATACTTCATGGTACAGTTTCCTTTGTGTTTCACTGGAATTTATTACACTTGGTTTGTTGTCTGTTCAAGCAACTGCACTTAAAAGAACAATTAATACCTGACTGACTAAGTTAACTACATGGGCTTTAACAGTTTTATTCAATTTAATAAATAATATCGGAGTTAATTAGTCTAGTTTAATGATGGTCATGTGCAGGCCAAGAAGTTGACTCTCACAAACACCTTTCTTAGAATATAAGCTTGTTTGTAATTAACTGTGTGGATAATGATATATTTATTTTAACATGACAATCAAAACTGATACAAAATAATTTAAAGTTTAAATTATATCTATATATTTATTATTATTTTAAATATTTTACTAAGTCTTTTATTAGTTTGGTTTAGATATTTAGTGACTTTATACCGCAGGAGGATTTATTAGAGGTATTTTGATCTCTCTCTTTTTTTGTTCATGTAAATATTCTTATAGATGAGTGAGGGAAGAGATAACACTATTACAATTTATTTTTCTCTTCTAAATAGTTTGAAGTAATACTCATTAGTTTGGGTATTTTTCACTGTATACAAAAAAAAATCTATGGAATTGACACATTTTAGAAGAAGAGCACATTAAAAAATACTATCAGAATGAGATTGTTTTCTCTTTAAAGATAACACTATATGTATTTTATTCTACATTATTCTAAACTTGGTTTATATATATACATACATACATATATATATATATATATATATATATATATATATATATATATATTGATTTAAAGAATTATTTTAATATTATATTATTAAATTATTTTTTAACTAATTATTTATTATTATTTTTTTATCAATCAATCTTACAGAGAGAAATTATTTGTTTTTTTTATAAAACATTTTAGTATGATAAAATTTAGTTATGATGCCCTCGAAAACAATTATATCAAAATCGTTTTATGTGTTTTCTTTAGTTTACGGATTTCTGTGATTATTTCACATTTGTATATTTATAATTTTAATGTATTAAATTTAATCATTGATATAAATTTATTTACTCATATTACAAAATAAATTATGTTAGTGTGTATTTCTTTCTTGGAAATTGTGTCAATATCTAATGTAATTACCATATTGTGGACACTGTTTATACCAGGATAGGAAATTTTAATCATATTATTTAAGAATATTTTATTTTCTAAAAGGTCCTAATAATTATGTTCCAACAAAAAAAATCAGAATATATTGTTTTGTTTATCATATGAAAATCAATAATCATTTAAAAATAAATTGCTTTAGAATTATTGGAAAATGAGAAAAAAATTGTTGTCATTGTCTTAAAATCTATTTGTCAAACTTTCGATACATTTAAGGTTTGTTTCACCAATAGTGTTATTCATATCATATATATTTAAATTCATACATTTGTGAATCTATAAACATATAGAATTAATATATAAAATATATAATTATTTGCGTGAATTTATAAAAATATATTTAAGACACTATATATATTTATTTATGTGTATTATATAATCTAAATTGTTTTTCTCTTGTATATCATTTGTAAGACTACTTCATTTAAATTTAGCAGAAGAAAATGTTTAAAATATGGTAATCAGGCTAAATTCTTAATCAAAATATTTCCTCAAGGTTATAAAATATATATATATATATATATATATATATATATATATATATATATATATATAGTATTTAATCACGGATAAGTCTTTGATTTGAGATTTAAAATTTAAATTTTGACATTTTTTTATAGATTATGTAACATCCAATTATTGAGGTCGATCTTCAGGTCATATAGTCCTAATAATCTATAGTATATAATTAAAAGTTGTTATAAAAAAAACAAAAAAAAAACATTTAATTTATACAATGTTAGGTTATCAAATCCAAGTTCGATAGAATCAAAATAGATTGAAATTAATTTAATAAAAAACTTTTAAAATTAAGTTTGAGGACTCAATCATGTTTAATTAAAATTAATGCAATATTTGACCGAAAGACCTACCATGAGAACTAACTTAAAGAAAGGAATTAGGAGACACCTTTTGCATGAAAAATGTGGGTCAAACTCTAGGAATAGATAATCATAAAAATTCCTTCACATAAAAGAGCAATGAAATGTGTATACATGTATTATTTTTTTTAATTAGTGGTAAGAGATGCCAATATCGATTCTAATATATGAGTTAACCCGCTCACCACATGTTCGAGTTAAATTGGGTTCAATTTTTTTAATTTCTACCTATAATGAATTAAAAATGAATTCAACTCATTTTATCTACAGGTTAAGTAGTGGGTTGGCTCATAATTCACCATTTATTTTAAATTTCAAAAATAATTATAATTATTTAATAATCTTAATTGATGTTTTTTTTCCTATCCACCTTTACTCCATGTCATCACCACAAATCAAACTTTCACTCAAGTTTATCATCAATTATTCACCGCATCACTGCGTTCTTGCCGCACTTTAATCACTTGTCATCCTTCCGCCATACTATTACGTCATCATGTTCATTGTTTTTATCGCACCAATGTATTTCAATTACGTTATTTGTCATATTTATCGTGTTTCAGTCGAGTCATAGCGTTTATCATGTCAATGTCACAATGTTTCAATTTCACATTTTAATATTGCTACAAAGTTTGTCATGCTACTTGCTTTTGTCACACCACTACATTTGTTGCGCCATCATGTTTCAATTAATATATATATATATATATATATATATATATATATATATATATATATATATATATATATAAACTTATTTATAATAAAGAATTAGATTTAAGTCATTTTTTAATACAAAGTTTTACAATAGAAAAATAGATTTTAAAAAATAGTATAACAATTATTAGTGATTAGTGAATTATTTATTAAAATCATAATTACTTTTGATTATAATTAAATATATATTTTATTATTTTAATTTAGAAGTTAAAATAAACTATAAATTATAGAATAAAATAATTATTAGTCAATTTTTTCTTATATTTCAATCAAACGAGATTGTTAAAAAAACAAAAAATTAAAATACTTGCTATCTGAAATCCAAAATATATTAGTTGTTCTATTAAGATGTTAATAGAGATTAAGATGTTAATGGAAATGCAATTACAACATTTTGTATAAAAATATATATTCATGTATATTTTATAAAAAAAAATGAGAAAACTTGTTTTCTCGATCTCCTGGATTCTCTCCACATATTTTGTGTGCATTTATGTTTTTTTTGTTTAGTTTGTTTCAATAAGTTGTGTCTCGAAATTCATAAGAGATTATCAATTGAAGCAATTCTTGCTAATGTGTCTCTATGTTAATTGCAAGTGTTATATACGGATTTAGTGTCTAAGATTAATATATATGTTCTAGTATATTCTATCTTTGCTTTTATTTTGTTACTTAAAGGAAAAATTTTCATTCCCTCTTATCATTTGGATCGAAAGGAATCCTTACAAAATATACATCACATGTAGAGTCAATCTAAAATCAAGTCCCCAAGTATTATTAAATACTTCAACGAGATTTGATTTAAAATTTACAGGTATATAGAATATACTTTTCTTTTCAAACTATTTATTCGTTTTAAGGTAACACTTCTCATCTTTATAGATTTTACTTTCATTAATCCTCATTTGAGTTTTGTATTACTTGACTTGTTTTACTATTATTGACTCCATCATGAGTTATAAGATGAGCATAATTATCACTAATTTTCTTTAATCTTCTTCCCTCTAGAACCAATATGACCTTAATTCCATGGAAGTTTCATTTTTCTTTATGAGTGTTATAATTCACCTACTAGTCAAATTCAAGAGAAAGTGAGTTCAAAATGAATTATATTAAAAAGGATTTACTCACTTCACTTTCATTCTCATGGACTCCAACCTTGCTAGTAGAATAAAAATTTCAATTACATAATCATGAATTGATTGAAATCAATCAAATCTTTTATTTATTAGCTCATTTGTTACTTTTCCCATATTCTACCAGTCAAATTATGGAAATCTTTAACCAATTTCATAAATTCTTTAACATTATCAATTTTAAACACATATAACTTAACATTCTCGAGTCATAAATAATCTCATCAAATTTAATATTAATCTTTTAGATTATTCTCAAGTATAATTAAGAGACCTATTAATTTTTGTACTAGTCTTAATTAGGATTAAGAATATTTTATTCAGCAAGGTCTAAAATCATATTACATTCATTCTAAATCAATCAACATAATTCAAACAATTGAACTATCTATAAAAAAAAATTAGTAACAAATTTAAACAAACATGACATTCTTAACATGCAGGACATATTTAAATAGACACATATTTAATATGAATAAAAATAAATATTTTTTATTATAGTAATGAGTAATGGTTCACCTTTATAATCCATATAAATTTTAAAAGTAATAAGTTTAATTAACCTAAACAATTAAATTTACAATATCATCATTCCAACTATGTGATAATTGGTGATTAAAATTATATATATATATATATATATATATATATATATATATATATATATATTAATACAATTCTTACAAATTTCAAAAGTTATCATTTAAGAAGATATATTATACTTAAATCTATCAAGTGAATATATATTATACTTAATCTAAAATTGTTAAGAGCATATCAAAATTATCTATATATATATATATATATATATATATATAACTTAGAGGTCCTTTGATTGAAACTATGTTCTAATATAAGTCATATTTCTTTGAATAGACTTTTGTATTAATTATTAAAAGATTCAATAACTTATTCCGATCTATTATTAAATATTTCAAAATATTTATTATGAAATATTTCAAAAAATTATTTTTTTCTTCTCTTTTATGACTTTTTTTACTATATAAGATTGTTTGAAGGATATTTTTTATTTCAAATTTTTTTTTTCAAAAAAATGTAACTATTAGACCGATAAATAAAAAAACTTGTTTTTTAATTCCTGATAACTCCTTAAAAGTTTTAACCTTTATAAACATTTATTAAAAGATAATTATATTCTTATTAGAGGGAGAAAAAAGAGAATTAATTTTAATATCTATAAATTAATTTTTATGATTTTAATATAATTATAATCTGTGATTTCTAATACTTCAGGTCTCCAACGTGAACAAATTGTAGAGAACAGAATTTAACAAAACAAAATTCTAATTTTTATATTTTAAATGTGAAATTGTGAAAGAGAAAGAAGTGGGAAAAAAACATACAATTTTTTCTATAAGTTGAAATCATGAAAGGGGAAAAAAATTAAAAGTGAAAAAGTAAGAAATGAAAATGTAAAATGTAAAAGTAAAAGTAAAAGAATGAATACTGCGTGTAAAAGTTAGAGGTGAAAAAGTGAAAGTGCTAGAAATGAAAAATGTAAAAATATGAAAGTAAAAAGGTAAGAGAAAAAAAAACATAAATAAAAAATTAATTAAGAGAAAAAAATAAGATTATCATTTAACATAAAGAAAAAAAATTATAAATAGTAAAATAAAAATATTTTTTATTTATTTATAAAAAAATTATTTGATTTTAAATTATAATTTATTAAAATAAGAGTAATGAATAATTTTTTATAATTATATAACATTATTTTTTATTAATATTTTTTAAATATTTTATTTTTTATATTGAATTCCTCTAGCACAAAATTTATTTTGTCTTTAACATTCATCTTCCTACCTTCAATCTTAGTAGCCATTCCCATTAAATATATGAGGATTTCCATGCAAGATTATTAGAAGGATCTTTTTTATGTAACTCAATGTGGTTCAAATTTAGTTCTGTAAAGTTAGATAAATTCGGATTTAATATTTAAATTGGACACGATTTAAAGATAAGTACGGGTACAAATAAGGTACATGATTTATAATATTTCAATTATGATCTAATGTTTATCGAATTCTTGATTAATTTTGAATGTTATTAGTAATAAACATACAAGATGATAATGCTATTTATTTTTGGCATCATAAATTATATATTTAAAGAATAACGAGATTAATAAAAAATAAATTTTTATTTAAATTGAATTTTGATAATTGGGATATATGTTTTATAAAAATCAATCAAATTTTCAAGAATTCTACTTAAAAAAAATTAAGATTAATAGATACTAACATTTGTGGACTTTTGAACTCTAAAACTGTTTTTAAAAATTTAAAAATAAAACTATAATGCAAACTCTTATTTGACGTCAAATACATAAAAAATTGTCTTAAGAATACACATTGAATCTTAAAACTTAAAGTCTCAAACTATTGAGTAATGAGACTTTAATACTTATATTAGATGTTAAATACATTAGGAATTCTTCTAAAGATACACTCCCTTGATCTTGAGGACTTGCCTATGTCAAATATATTGAAATTCTTATTATGATAAAAAAAAGCAATACCTTATTTTGTACATAGAAAAAATTGTGAAATATATAAGTAAGTTTAATTCTCGTTAATTATTTTACCGGTTTATTTGTCTAATATTTTGTGATCGAATATTTATATCATTATGCACAATTACATCGAACAACTCATAAAAAATTACATGGTTTTAATTATTTTATTTTAAGAATATTACATGACTTTAATTATTTAATTTTAAGAATATGAGCATTAATGATAGCTAATTAATTTTACTCTTATTTTTCTTATAATACTTTTGCATGTGTAATTTTTAACATATTTAACAAAATAGTCAAATACTACTAAATTTAAAGGAATTCAATTTATTTAGAGTTTTTTTATTCTGTAATTTTGTAGCACTTCCTATTAATTTTAAAATATTTTTCAATGACTTAATTATATTTTTAGTCCCTTAAATTTACATGATTTTATTTTTAATCCCTCAAATTAAAAAAAAACTCGAAATTAAAATATTATTATTTTAGTCCTTAGACAATAAACTGGGAGAACTAAAATGATTATTTTTAACTTATTTTTATTCTTTCAAATTTAGTACTTAAACACTAAAATTAGATTATATTAATTTTGAGGGTTTTTTTTTAATTTGCATGACTAAAATTTAGTTATCCCAAATTTTAGGAACCAAAAATATAATTAAAATTTTAAAAAATAAATTAAAATTTATTCCTATGTAAGGTACCAAAAATATATGAGATATAGAAAAAAAGAGAATGACTTTGGTAGATTTAATTTTATGTTTTAGTTTTTTAAAACAATCTTAAGGATCAAATTTGAAAAACTGTACTTAAAAATAAGTTAAAAGAATTTGGTTTGATAATTCTATTTTAATTATTAGAAGTTATGATAAAAAATGGTTTTGAAAATATTGATTAAAATTATTTAATATAATTATTGGTAAAAATATTGATCCTAATTACTGAAAGCAAAAAATTAAAACAGAAAATAATTATTATCAGTTTTAATTTTTTAATTTTAAAAAATAAAAATGTTTTTACATAACAATTATTAAACAAACTTTTTAGTTTCTAAAAACTAATATATATATATATATATATATATATATATATATATATATATATATATATAAGTGAGAAAGTAAATTAAGTTTATCGTTGATGTACAAGATAACTTAAAATATTCTTATTATAACTAAAATATAGCAATCATTGATTGCGATTGAAAATTAATTAAGCAAATGATCTAACTGACATATTCATGAGATTAAAAAATTGTCAACAAATAATTTAAGTTTGTATGAAGAACATCATATTCGAAGTTCTATTTTCTACATGTATCTTGTCAAACTTAATAAACATATTATAGTTAATGTTAGGAATGACATGAGAAAGAGAAGAAGGCTAAAATGTTATTTTGAAAATTTTGGATTATTATAATTACATTACTATTGTAGATTTTACTGCTGCAATCATCAATAATTTCAGTCATTTCAATTTGAATATAGTTATAAGGCTCAAGAACGTGTAAACGAATAATTGAGAAAAATAGAATTATATAGAACATGACTTAAATAGAAGTTCCACAAAAAAATATATTGCAATATGAATGTTTTAGTTCTCCATTCATATTCACCTCTCTGCTAGAACTCGCGTGGATTCGTAGTTTCCTTCTCAATTTTGTTTTCCTGATACTTAAGAGTGAGTGACTCATCTAACATTTTCCAGGGACACTCACTCACTTCTAGCTAATGCCGACTGCCTATATAAGTTATAATAAAAATTATAGTCAGATATTTTGCTCTTCTCAAGGTTATAAATTTACACTCATTTCTATTTATTTTCTTTATACCACACCACTTCTTATATCCTTCATTCTCTACCTGCGTTTTTTATATATCTCTATTCCTATCACCCAAATTCACCTCAGATGGGTGCAGGTTGAGTATTACCTTACATCCTAGCCACCAATTTTTTATGGATGGCAGAATTCTCTTAACATAGGTGTTGAAAACTTACAACAGTCACTGTAGTTTTGGTTTGGTTAGCAGTGGGTTGACTTGACTGCAGCCTCCGCGTGAAAAAGTCAACATTCAGAGACTCTTCATTCCATCCATTCCACTGACATTCTGTCTCTGGAAAATGGGAGGAAAAGAAGAGATGACAGAGGGTGGGTAGCTAGAAAGTACAATAAGAGAGAAACAGACAGTGGTCATGGCCAGCAGGGCAGTATGGGCAGTATTCCCAAACGATTATTGGATAGAAGGAACAGGAGAATGTCGAAATTTGAAGCTTCTCTGTCTCACCTATCACGCAAGACACAAGTTGAGTCGTACTCGTACCCAGCTCATGTTAGAAAGCAAGCTGTATCCCGCGTGCAAGTCAATTCCCTCTGTCAGAGTTACAAGAATGTTATATTCTTCACTTCTTCTCTCTCGACCCTTCCCTTTGCTTTGCTTTTCAATAAAGTAGCAAGCAAATCCAAGAGGAAAGAGAAACTATAAATACCAAAAAGGAGCTTAGCAGAGCAACACACAGCACTGGATTCAAATGCACTAGTAGAACCAACACCTTTTCACACACCCGTCAAAAAACAAAAACAAGACTAAACGTACGTACATCTAGCATATGCATATAGCATATGACATAGATAAAACTACAATAGATCTACCTTAGTCATCACATATTCCACAAGTAAATTATAAAACAAGGCTCTGCCGACACCCACATGTAATACTAACTACTTTTCTTCCCTCACAATTGGGTGGTGGTTAACTAGGGTGGCCCTCGCTTTGGTTCAGTTCGGTGGGGAATCGTTGTCATTTATATCAATCACACACAGCTTCTATTGTATGGTTTAGGTTTGTCACCCCTGCTTCGTTCCAAATCAACAATTATCATCAAATCACATCACCCATTCAGCTTGAACTTTGACGCACCGCACAACCAACAACCTGAGCCCACTGCTTCAGTCTGGTCTTCACCGTCTGAGGGTTATCACCTTCATAATTAATTCACACCAAACAACGCAATAATTCAACAAAAGAATCCCCACATCTTAATCACTTTAATCACAATCAGCATATAAACTAAGCATCAAAAGACCCAGATTTAAATGTCCTTAACTATTGTTAATCCGCTCTTTGAATTATATTTTTATTTCATTAACCTAAATTAATTATTACAAATTTTAATTGTGAAACGTACGATTATTAGTCAAAACAGATCAAATATCAGCTAAGGGTTAAGTACCTGTTGTGAAGATGGCGGAGTGGGGACTGCCATGCGGAGAAGGAGTCTCGTCGCATTCAGAGACAGCGGAGGAAGGCGGCGTGGTTTTCGGTACAAGCGAGTCGTTGTAGTGTTTGTTGACCGCGTAGTAGAGGCCAAGAGCTGGTAGAGTATCGGAGAGGCGGCGATCGTGCTCGACCTCAGGGGAGGAATCGAATCCGAAACCCAATTCGATGCAGGCTTTGAGTTCATCTACATCTTCATCGGTGACACTCTTGCTGCGGCGGTTCTTCCAGTTGCCCTTGCGGCGGAGCCAGGCCTCATCACGATAGGCGTCAGGTGACCAGGATCTCTGCTTGAAGAGCGGAGAGGCAGACTGCAGGAGCGGCGGGCGCTGGAGCAGAAAAGGCGGCGGCAGCGCCTGGTCCTCTGGTTCGGACATGGGCGTGGAAAACATGCACAGCCCCTTAGAGTTGGGGTTGTGCGGAGGTCGAGGGACCTCCCACGATGAGTTAGGAAACGCTATTGCGTTGTTAGGTTTCTATCTTTCGGCGCTTTTCAATGCCAAGGGACACCACACCCTTTATGCTTAGCTCCTTCATCATACCCTCACCTCAACTCTTCTCCCATTTGTCCACCTCATCATCACATCTTTTCGTTTCAATCTTTCTTTGCTTAGCGTACAAATATTATTTATTCTTTCTACTATCCTTCTATATTTTTATTTAACTTTTTATTGATTTAGTTTATTTTTCCAACAAATGCATTAACATATAATAATTATATATTATTGCGTTTAGTCTTATTATTATAATAATATAATAATGCCTTGTTGCGGAAGAAAATAATAAACTCCAAATATTCAGATTAATTGATCCATATATCAGAATTAATTATACGTTAAGTTAGGTATAATACTTGATTATCTTTTAAATTAAATTTAAGATTTGTTACCTCATATCCAGCTTCAATTGTACGTATGACCACTACATGTGTCTTGTTATTTGCATTATTGGCGGAATCCATTACCTTAAAAGCAATCTCTGTTATGACTTGTTGGGATCCAGGAAATTTTAATCGTTATCATAATTTGTATCTTATGTTTTTCATTTTTTTTATTGAATAATTGCTTAAATGTTTTATGTAGCCCACTGCTATGATTAAATTAATTAAACTATATATACATACTGTATTGTGTAAAACATTAATTTGACTTTCTCTCTGTAATCAATCTCAGTTTGTATTCTTAAAAATAAGATGATTTGTCTGATTTTCTCTTATATCTTCCTAAATATATATTTATATATTTATATATATATATATATATATATATATATATAATCATATTTATCATTCCATTTTATATTAAAATATAACAATATTATATTTTTAAATTAGTGAAACAATGAAGTGAGAATGGTATTTTGTTTTAAAAATTATAAGTTATTACTCAACTTTATGAGTCCGACAAAAAATTTATCAATTTTTTTAATAATTTATAAAAACTAATATGTATATTTTTATATTTTAATATGTATTTGTATGGTTGGAAAAAGTATTTTTCTTTATCTGTTTTTTATAATTCCAGGTTTACTAGTACATATATGTACATTAAACACCTAAATCCTAACCTTATTGGTAGATAAGTAAATTATCTACGTATAAAAAAACTTTGCTAAACATAAATAACAATGACACCGGTGAAAACATATCAATATTATAATATCTATCTGGGGTTTGTTTTTAGTATAATAATATACAGACAGATAATATTAAAAAAAAAATTCTTTTGATGTCTTATAAATTAGAATATATATTTTTATTTTATAATATTATAATATCTATCTTGGCTTTGTTTTTAGTATAATAATACACAGAAAGATAATGTTTTTAAAAAACAAAACTTCTCTTTTGATGTCTTTTATAACATATATTTGTTATATATTATTTTAGGGATATTATAATATATATTTTTCAACATCAAATCATAAATTTAAGTATGTCATATAACTGTAATTGAATTATTAAAATAAATTATAATTAATAATCACATCAACATTTAGAAAATCTAAACATCTTTATACATTAATTTTATATATATATATATATATATATATATATATATATATATATTTGTTTATTGTACCTCCAAAAATAATACTATTCTATCTTTCTATAATATTATCCCTCAATTATTGGAGATTAATATTGAAAGAACTTACTATTAGTTATGACTAAGTAAATAGGAATAAAGAGGCAGATAAATTTTTTATAGAAAACATGTTTTGGAAAACATGTTTTGGAATAGACCTTTTTGTTTATAACCTTATATTTGAACAAATTATACTAAATTTTATTCATGAATAATATTTTGTGCCTATCCATTTCTCAAAATTAAAATAAATATTTCATAAAATAATAATTAAATATATTATTGTCTCAATTAAATTATATTAATGGATTGATTATATATATTAAATATAATAATTGATCATTATGAGAAAGTTTATTATATCTTTTCAATTCTTTATTATCCTATATATTGAAATTTACATGTACACTTAAGATGATTTTTTTAGCATTTGATTCTCTTCACAAATTTTTCATTCCATAGTTGCATTATTCTCATGTATAATTATCAAATTCATGAGTCAATTTAAAAATTCGGACGAGTTTACGAGTTTAGTTATTGATCACAAGTTAATTTGTGAGTATATTCATTTTTTAATATATTAGGTGTAAACTCAATCAATTCAACTTACTCAAATCAAACTCAGGAGTTTGGCACGAGTGAATGAGTTTAAAATAAGAAGAAAAATGATACTTGCGAGTTTAACATGAATGATTTTTTTATTTTTGTTTGTTATTTACATTGTTCTTTATATTCACGGTTATTCACAGCACGTTGTTGGTTATTGTTTGTAAAACATTGTTCGTCGTTATTTATCGCTTGTCGTTGACCATTTTTTACTCGCTCGTTGCTAACACTATTTATCATTACACTGCTCGTCACTATTTGTGTTGGTCGTCATTGTCATTCTTGTTGATCATTGTCGTTATCGTTCATGTTGTTCATATTACTTGTGCACTTTTAAGATTTGAGTTTTTCCTTTTTCTCTATCAATATAAGCTTCTTTATTAAAAATATTTTTGTTTTCGTCACCCACCATTGCTTTATTTTTTATCATTTATTTATGTAGTATAATTATTAAATTAATTTTTATTTTTGTTAACTCGTATAAACATTGAAATTTGAAAAATAGGACAAATAATAAGTAGAAACATAAAGTAGATGTTTTGAATATTTTTATTAATGTATTATTATATAAACTTATTTGTTTTAATAATGTGAAATTAATATTATCATACTAATACTTTAGTTTGTATTTTTTAAATGAAACAGAACTCTTACGAGTCTATGAGTCGAGTCTGTCGACCTCCTACGAGTCTAAGTAGACTCTCGAGTCTAATAATCTTGTCCTTACAACTCGGTCACATTGATTCTAGTGTGTCACAGTATGACCGCATAGATCTTAGTTAGTTTTTGACAACATGATAAGATTGTGAGTTCTTAATTAATTTTATTGTAATATTGTCATTTTCTTTTTGGACAATAATATTTGGCACCTATTATAAACCACGAAATAGTACATTCCACACTCACCATCAAAGAAATCGTCAAAAACTTGAAACTACATATTCAAGAATGCAACAAATAAACAAAAAAGAGATTGACAAAATTGAGAGGAAACCTAAGGTTGAAATAAGCGTTTTTCATGCAAAAAGTGTGAAGAGTTAGAAAATAGTGGTGTTTATTGGTGAAATCTCTTTTGAGGTTCCACGCTTCTTCCATAAACTAGTCACAACCATGGTACCAATCCATATCCCTCCGAACAAATACTCAATGTGAGGGCGAATCCAGGACTGTTCGAGGGGGACTCAGAGGAGGTGAGTATAAACCCAACACCTAAAGAATACGGGGGAAACCAAATTTAAAGCTTGGAAGTCCTTTTACTCCTAAAAGTTTGGAGAAACCATCATCGTTAATGTATGTATTTAGTGAAAGCGACATTTTTTTTTGTGAAATTTTGTCAATGACTTTGAAATAAGTGACACTCAAATGATTCTATAATTTATATTGTAAATTGATAGAATATTTCAAAATACTAATACAAAATATTAGAAATAACTTTGTAATTACAAGACCTCACCAACTAATCCCTCTCACCCTTAAGGGCCTGAGATGAGAAAAAAATTGAATACCTAAAAAATTTTATATAGCGTTTTAATCAGATTTGTCTTACTCGTTTATAACTTATCTCCATATTTGATCATTCACTCCTTTGATACCCGAACTCAAATGTAGGTCATTCTTATATAGTTTTTATATGAACTATCCAGAGTCTTAAAAAAACTCACGGAACTCCAAATTCGTACCATTATAAAAAAATTATAATTTAAAAAATAATTTTTCATAAAAAATATCTAAACAATATAATTAGTTATGATATGCAACAATAATATAAAAACATCTAAAATTATTTTTATATTTTTGGTCCACCGTATGTTACGTGAGTGGGCTGGTGGACCAAATAAATCACCTTAATAAATATACTAACATGAACTTCATTTGATCATGCAAGAAGGTATATAGGAATTATTCCCCAACTTATTCTTGAAATAACAATATAAAAGTGACCAAAATGCGAAAGATTGAATGACAATAATTGAATACGATAAAATGCACACACAGGATAATACTAATGTTATTTAGAAAACTTTAGTTTGGTGGTGCAAATCGTGGTAGTTTAAGCCACACATCACAAAATCATGAAAGTCACTTGAAAGAAATATCCATTATTAGGACCTACACACACAATTTTTTATCCCTAGTGCTCATTAATTATGGATATTTCAATAGATGTCATGACATAGGAAGATGACAAAGTTTGTGTATAAATATTACTTTCATCTTATTTTTAAAATGAATTTTTATTTGGATAGTTTTTAAATATATAATTTTAACATTTAAGTATTGAGATAATTTTTTAATTTACATTCATATAACTTTTGTACATTTGCTTGTTTTTTTAAAAAAAATTACATGCATTGTCTATAATTATTGTTTGTCAAATTAAGTCATTTTAATTAATTTATACCATTCTTGTACAATTAATTTTGTTTTCTTAATTCACACTCGTTTTCTTTAATTTGTAAAAAAAAATGTATTGTAAATATACATAAATAAACATAACTAGATGAATTGTATTTTTTGTACTAAATATAGTGATTTCTGTATAATTATTAGTATACGTTTTAAATTTTATAATAATAAATTAATCACTGAAATTAGTTATTTTTAATTAAATATATTTACAAAAAATTATATAAATTAAAAATTGAAAAACATTGCTAGTCCAGATAAAGAAATAAAAATTGTATTTATTTATTTTTTTAGGATATTTGATATACATTTTCACCTAACAAAATAATGTGCTACAATTTTATTATTTATTTTTTATGGGGTGAATAGCTTGTAGCCCATTATTTTATACAAAGAGCTTGTATACTAGCAATCTAAAATTAAACCACTGATGGTTTTTTGTTAGAAATAAACAATATATAAGTTGTTCAGGTCCTAAATTATTTAAAGATATTGTAAGTTATTTCATTACAATTTTCAAACAAGTATTTTTACAAATAAATGAATAATGAGATTGTGTAAGAGAAAATAAAATATTTAAAAATAAATAAATAATAAGTAAGTTAATTTTAAAAAATAAAACTTCACTGAAGTAAATTTGGATATGAGACACTGATGATTATGTGAAAGATACATGTTTTGTATTTTTCAATGTAAAAATATGAAAATTTTAAATTTAAATTAAATTAAAATATTTTAAGTCATTAAAATATTTAAATAATTTTTATTTAGAATTATGAAATATAGTACATAGTTAATAAAAAAGTAAAATTCAAAAAAATACGCGTGTAAGGATTAAATTAACTCTGAAAATAATTTTATA